TCATGCTTATATGATACCATCCCAATAATGTAATACAATTCAATTTCCTATTATAGCGTCGCAAATGCACTCTCTTGACTGATCATCAACCCATATTTTTGCACATCATGCGAACAATATTCACTTCGTGAAGCTGAATAGCTAAACTTCTCACCACGCTTTTCAATTAAAGGAAATACAACCCTCATACAAAATCAGGAAGTGAGTGAATACTTGTGCTATAATACTTCGATACTACGTGGGCGTTGTTGGCCAAGTCTTAACCAATAAACCTAAGTTGTCACACACCGATAAAACTAGTGTCGTGAGATACGCTTTATACAAAAGATAAATTTATGATCTGTTATGGCCGAAAGATTTCAATCTGAAGGACACTGACAAGATATCCACAAAACAAGTTTTAATCAATATTGAGTGTGTTCTGATTACCTTCTAAATTTCCACAATTGCTCGTGATGAGGGACTACACTCGAAACCTTTATCATTAAATCGACTACTCACAGTGGATATCAATTAAGACGATTAGCTCAACGTACATTTCTTTAGCGATGAGAAAATGTGTAGTATCGGATTAGCTACACCTTAAAAACCTGATACAAAATGCACTATTCACTAATCAACCTCTGAACACCATAATGGGGTTTTCACTTGGTGAGTTACCTGTGAATTGAACCGGACATAATTATGGCTTCATAATGCAAGATTCAGACAGCATCCACTCAAATACAGGCACACAGGCCACCCTACTGGAAAAGCATTTACAAAAAGCTATTATGATCTTTTCGGAACTCAACAACTTGTTAATAAGTGAACAAGATGGTTTCACGAAAGGATTATCTTGGACGACTAACATCTTTATGGAATGTGAAAGACATGCGAATTCGCTTGAAAATGAAAAGTCAGTAGGTGTTGCTTACAGACTTTAGGAATGTATTTGATTAGGTACCACTTATCAAATTCCGTTCGAATATGGAGAATATAAGGAGTGATAAACGTCTTCTGAAGTCAGTGTCACCAACGTAATAATAATAGAACTAATCCAGCGTTGTAGAATTCCCGTGTTATGACCACCTAATCTAGATCTCATTACCAATTCACAACACTAGTAATACTGGTCGTCCCATTGTGGCAGTCATAGGTTGATAGCATGAACCTTTAAAGGATACATTAAGGTTAGGTATGGAATAATATGTCCACTGTAAAGACTAAGAAGGTTTATACGTGTTCGATGGCCAGACTATGCCGTTCCCATTGGGTTCTTTTGTGTCGACCTTATATTAATGCTCAATAGTCAATGTAAGTCATCTTAGAAAAACTTTAAAGAAGGCAAGAGTAGCACCGAAATAGTAGTAGCCTTAATTGACACCCTGCCAACCCACCTTCGGGTCTTTAACTTTTGATGCATAAGTGTTATATTTGTTTTTATATTAAGTACATGTGTGATCCACACATGAACAATAACTATAAATCGGAAACATCACAACAACAGCGTTAGGTCTCAAACGAAAGAAGGATCTTCGACTGATGTGAGTGGTGTGTGCAGACTAGGCCAGTGGAAGTAACCGGTCTTCTGGATTTCTCCGCCAGAAGACAGAGAAAAAACGATTAAATCAACAAGCAAATTACCTGTGAACATTTAATAGGCAACGTAGGCAGTGAAATCTCGAAATAATGTCGAATTCTTTAAACAAATCTAGTGGATCCTTTCTGTATCTCCATTTGCGAATCTGATCACAAAAGGCGGTCATTACAAACCAAAGGTCATGTATTTAGTCGAGTTAGGCTACAAATGCAACTTTTGTAACTTTCCGTTCAATCCTCATTCGTCCCCAAGACGTCGATATAGTATCTGTTTCCTACCAGATTACCAGTATTTTCTACTAGATCAAACGCTCATTTTTGTAATTTCAACTTTCGTTTTGTATCCCTTTATTTTATACGAACAGCGGAGCAGTTCATCACGCTTGAGTGGCTTCATTTATTTATTTCCAAAAAATATGGGTTCCTCTTCACTTTCGACCTTGAGATGACGAAAAAAGCAGGTATGATAACACCTGATAGCCAGACAGAACATGAGAAATTCCTACCTCACCAACATGGTATCAAGTAGACTTCTCGTGGCAATTCCTCAGATTTTATTGATTCATTTTATCACCCTCCATTCCCTGATTACCTCATGTAGAGAGCACGATCAGCAAGTAATAAACGATCATTTGTGGGAAGTAGGTAAACGCCGCCAAGACAACAAGCTAGTGAAGTATATCAGATTCATATATTATCTCTGAATACTGACTGGGCAGGAGTTGCCACTGATTATAAGAACAAGAAGGTGGAACACTGAAGGAGTTAGAAATTCTCCATTTGGCTGCTGAAACTGAACCGAAGTGTTTCTGTGTAATAAAATAATTGAAATGACATTCCATTGGTGTCTAGTGCCATGTCAATCCCATATGGGTTGTTTTAGCTTCTAGATAGACCAGCTTGTTCATCCTTTTTGAGTCACATTTTGACCTTGTCAATTATTTGCTTGACTGTCCTTACATCAGCATTTGTGTTTACAACGCTTACCATACTCATCGCATGTATGTGGCTTATTTTTGCCTGGCTATAAGTATTGAGTCATACTTTATCCGATCAAGTTGGCTCAGCCGCCTCCTCTTCTCGATGTCGCTTCTTGTTCTGATTGTCTGCCTGCGTACACGAGTGTTTGAGATAAGTTCATTCAACGCCACTCGTATTTGGATTTTTATTACCCCTTTCACACAAACGGGGTAAGCCTAGGTAATATACGGATTTAATTGCATGTTTATAGTATATTCATACGTTCATCCAAATTTGAGTCATATCAAAGGCTAAAGAAGTTGATGTAATATCTTTAGTTGAATTGCAAAGAGTTGGCCAAAAATATCTTCGCAATTTCGAAACATTATAATGTGAGTATTTATTTACTTCCATATTTTGCGTAAGCATTATGTTTCTGATAATTCCATATCATAAGCTAAAAACTTTGTTCATAAAAAATTAGAGACGCACTCTCCAATTGTTCTGTACAACGATCTGAATAATGACCTTTTGCAACAACTAGTCTTTCCTATACAGTTAAAGCGAGCCATAACTAACAACACTAAAATCTCAGATTTTTATATTTGGCTTCAAGCGAAATATTTTTGGGAACCATTGACAAATTGAAATCATTCTGACTCATCATAGACTGAAAGCAGGTTCAATTTTCAAATGTTCATCATGCGAGCCAGTACTTAGTTGAGCGTCTAAAGGCTGTGTTCTAGGTGTCTTACATTTTATACATTATGTATATTTTTATTTGAACACATAAATATTGGTACAAAGGGGGCACCAAATACATATACGCTACACAATAACAATGAGAACGTGAAGAGAAAGAGGATTTGGGGTGCGTATAAGAAAAAGGGTAACAATTACCATCAGAAATTACTGTATGATAGTGAAATAATGATAATGAGATGGGCAGTTCAGTTAGCAAATGCACAACCAGAAATAATTCTCCCGGTTAAAGAAATTACGTCCATTTTTATGAAGAAAGTAAAGGGAAGTTACAGCAGGATCTCCACTGGCTTCTGTTGTAAGCCATATCTGATAACATATCTAGCCACTGCGTTATACCAGTTCTGGGACCCCAACCGGGGAGTTATGAAGGACCAACTGAAGCCAACCTCGTATTTATATGGATTTCCGTTCACTATTAAGTTCACAATGCCAGTTTATTCCGATGGCATTAACGGAGAATGAAAGTCCCTTTGCACTCAAGGTCGACTCATACCTTCCGCTAAGCTCGTCTGAATCACAACAAGCCCTGATCAATGCGGCCAGGTATGATAACATGCCCATTCAACACCAAGAGGCAAACAACTTCGTGGTCGAAAAAGCATCTGTGGTCTTGGTCCGGTCTCGTGATTATCTAAAGTTGTAATATTGGACCATGTTAAGATCAGCGCCCAATGCAGTGAAGATGGCACAAGTATTCAGTGTTTGACAACGCTTTTACCAGCAACACCTTCTAATATAATTCCTACCCATCAAGAGAAATCAAAAGACAGAGTCGAGGAGATCGGGAGAGTGTCTTTGGCGATAACCAATACATCGGAATTCTCTGATCTAATCTGGCTAGCGATTGCGGTAGATGTTGAGCACAGCGTTACCACACGTGACCTGGTGCGGATGCATGACCGAGCGCCTTCAGCTAGATGAGTCCACTAAAACATATGGTCAGCATCTAATGTTGAAAACTTACAGAGCTATTTATTTTGGGGATTTATTTACCGCTACAGCAGCATGCTCGCAGCTGAGGTTTTCAGATCCCTAATGTTCACTACATTAAACACAACCTTAGAGAAATCTATACTTGTGGACCACCTTTAAGTCTCAAACCCCTGTTTCCAACTTCGGCCAGACAACCTGAAAGAAGTAGAGAGGGTAGGTACTCCAGAATTTCGAAGTTTATCATCCTCAAGGTGGTACGAGAAGTCAAACCACCTTACTATGCCTTGACGCAGATTAGATGACCTGGGTTCGATGTGGAAATTACCAGAGAATGATTTAAGTCGTGAAGAATAGGCAATAAAAGATCTGAATTTCACTAGTAGTCATCAGGCCGAATAGTTGGCTTTAACTGCAGTTAAAGTCACCCTATAATATACGTATTCATTCACATCTCGATTAACTTTCAGCTAACTGCAACTGTCCGTGAAGATATTGCTGCAACCAATCATCTACTCATTAACTTCGAAAAAAAGTCGTTTCTATCCTACCGTGTTGTTGATGACACACTTTTTTCGAAAAGCGCTCGTGTTCATTGATCAATTCAATGTACACGGTCTAAAATAGGATCTGATCTCCAGAATTATCTCTAAAATTAATTTATATAATGAATAATATATGATGAAAACAACCTTTCAAGGCTACATACGACTAACTTAATTTTATTTCAAGAGATTGAACATTTGGATCTTTTCAAGGTAATTAATAACTCCGGGGTTTTCAAAAACTGTTGGATGTTTACAGATGGACGCTAATTCCTTACTTAGAGATCAAATACGCCACAAACTGACCGAGGTTTCTTTGTCATCTAAACACGTAAAAGATGTGGCATCGTTTCTGTTAATCCAGGCAGAGCATTCAGACTTCATCTCAAGCCAGTGGTTGGAAATATTTAAAAATTGTATGTCCTACATTTTCATTTCGGTACATTAACTACAAATTGTTCTTATTTCACTTAATTGTACAACGTTTCTGTGTCACGGGTTTTTTTCTGGGTTTTTAGTGTGTCCTAATGTCTAATTCATTTTATATGTGGATTGTTTCTCTTCGTTAACTAGAATCGCTAATTAACTAGTACACAAGCTTGGCTTCAGTTGTATAGTCAGACGGTGACTTGATTCTGACATACACCAGAGAAAGTACTCAATGTTACAACTCACACGACCTAATCTGTCGAGAATTCCTGTGCTATAGTTGTCGTACTGAGTCAGTCAGCTACAACGTAGGACCAGGCACATATATGCATCGGTCCAAGTTGCCATGCCTCATAAGCACAACAAGATGAACACCGAATTCATAGAAGTAGTTAGTTCAGTGGTGGTGATATATAAAAGAAGGATTTTGTATAGGGATATAATACAGGAAAAAAGAATCAGTTCGTAGAAGGAAAGATACAATGCAATTTTAATCTCATAGTTTGAGGGAAGACGGAAAGTATACACACCTACTCCATTGTGATCGATTCTGAGCCATGTCATCCACAGTCTGCAACCATTGGTTACAACAGTCACGCGGACCACAACCAATTAGTCTGCATCTAACAACATAGCTCAGACCAGAAGTTAGTGACTGTGTGGACTGATGCCAGGTTTTGGTTTGACCGCCCCTTACTTTCTTCCAGTCATTCCCAACACTATTCAGCATTGCGCGTCATGGTAATCGGTGTTCAGACATATGTCACACGCGGTCCAACGATCTCAGTCGACGAAGATTCACAATCTCATCAACTGATTTACCATCATTCTCTAAAACCCTGTGTCTGACCTCACTATTACTTACCCGGTGATTCCAGCAGATGCGAGCGATGTTTCTAAAACATCTGTGATCAAATAATAGTAGCTTACGAGTATTTTCTACTCTTAATGGTCATGTTTCGCAGCCGTAAACTAGAACAGAGCGAACTGCCGCACAGTATACCCGTCCTTTTATTGATAGACAGATATCTCTCCTTCGCCATAGGTGACGTAAGTTGGCGAAAGCTAAACGAGCTTTTTGAATCCGTGCAGAGATTTCATCAGACTCCAACCCATTAGGTCTGTTCAGACTTCCAAGATAAGTGTTGTCGACATATTCGACTACTTCACTCCCTATCGTTGTTCAAGTGTTGACTCATACTAGTCCTGGAGCAACGATTTGCATTTAGATGGGGAAAAGCGCATTCCAAACATTCTGACATTTTCGCTCAATGCTATCAAAAGACTCTGCATTTTATCAGCGTCTTCACCAAAGAGGACTATTTCGTTTGCGTATTCTATGTCGACAAGTGAGTCTCACGGTAAGAAATCAATGTCTGAGAGTTCATTCGACGAGAGCGTTATTTCCATCAATTGGTCTATAATGAAGTTAAACAAGAATGGAGAAAGTGAACAGTCTTGAGGGACACCATATGAGGTTGCAAGATCAAATGACAGTTAGCCATAAGCCAGTTATATTGGGCGTACAATTTGGCAAGTCCGTCATCGCATTACTGAACATCATCCGTCGTGGTTAAACAAAGGACAGGTAAAAGTGATTGAAAGTTCTATTCTCCCTCACTTGGTTGACACAGGTCATCAAGTCGAATTGAATAAAGCTTTTAAGGTTATCTACAATATCCCATCTAATTTGTCACATGGTTTACGAGTGCGCCTCTTGCATATTGCGGAAGCCATCGCAATCCATGTTCACAAACCTGACCTTTGCATACAAAAGAGATTTTTATATATGTTTAGTCAACTGATACCTCCTTACGAGACCGAATTATTGGCTTAAGCCCCGGACTGAACAGAAACAAGAAGATAGCTAACATGCAGAATAGTTACAGGGAAGGGATGAAATAGAAAACAACCAAATTTCATCACGTTCACATCTAATAACTGATTGTATTTTGATCGTCTGGACCTCATAAAAATGCCTAGTTAGGACTCCTATAAGCATTGTTATCATAGGATAGTGTGATTATTTTAATCTGAATATAGACTCCAAGTAATAACTTCCATTGATTAGACAATTACAACTCATGGAAACTATGAGACTATAATCGAGTTGTTCACGTGCTCGTTCGCGGACAACGTAGGATCTAGTGTAATTAAAAATCGATTCCAGCTCCTATAGTTCGCTTTAACACAATAACAGGGTACAAACACGATGAAATTCCAAATGAAAATAACATTGAGTATTGATATCATTATCGGTTGTTTTTAATCAGCTTATCATGTATATTGCGTTGTAATGTAATTATTTTGGGAGACAAAATACATTCTGTTCATCATCTTTCTTTTTTTCGTACTAGCGAACAATCCAAGTTTCCAATTAGCTCTACTTTATGTGGCAAATGAAATTCTTACTAAAAGTTCTAAATATGGCGTCTCTGAATTCGGTGAAGCACTAAAACCGGTCGTGACGCAAGCAGCACAATTTTTAAAGTTAGTTTTGTTGTTTCTTAAAATTGAGCACATATATACAGACCTGGGCCATTTATATCTAAGCTTACAAAGTTGATTAATTACTGGACCTATCGTAAAGTCTTCGATACCAAGTTTACTGAACAGCTTTTACAGAAACTAAGTAAGCCACTTCTTTCATGTATATTAGTATTTTTTTCCTTTTTAGATGCTACAGAACAAGTCGATAAGAAAAATATAACTCCAACATCACATTATGATAGTAATGCAGATAGTATCGTTAAAAACTTTAATGTAAGTAATTAAGTTAAAATACGCTTGCTATTTTTTAGACCACATCATAAGTTACCAATCTAAGGAAAGTAGTTGATGGCTATTAGGGATTTACAAAATATTTATTTCATCCGTGTTTATAACCACTTTGTAGATCAAACTCTCGAACCTCTTTGGGAACTTAATCCAGGGAATTCGATCACCAATTAGTAAACTGGTGTCATTTTTTTCCAGTTCTTGAGGATAGTTAAATTCTATCGATCAGGTTACACTATAGTAACAATAAGTTAGATATGGTTGATAGTTTGATTAGGTGCATACTTTTTAAAGCCCCCAAATGCCCTGGTACGGCCGACAGTGGGGAGAGTCCGCTCTCCCTCTCGATATGCTCTCACATGGCCACGCGTATATAGCCTCTGTTAAGGAAGTCCTACTCACTGCCTTCTCATGGCACTACTGTTGTTTACGAAATTGAGAGGACGAAAAGCGAATGTCCGGCATTTCAACCGGATTCCAAACCAAATCAATGGTGCACATGGGCTCCAGTATCCTGCGGGAACAAATGGCGTATGAACCAATTGTTGGCCACTGGCTTCCATGGGACTGCACCTCCTCACGATGTTCCACCGCCTTGTGGATCAAACCTTCAGGTCGAAGGCTCGGGGTGTGGCCTCCTAAGAAAACTACCTGCTTCGGTTTGGGCACCCGAGCAGTATCACAACCCTCACACATATCGAATGAGATTTGTGTGGCGCATATGTATTTGGTGCCTCCTTGTACCAATATCTATGTGTTAAAATGGATAAATAAAAATACTTTTTAAGCTACATGTAGTATTTTTAGTTTGTTCGATAGAATCAAAGTATCTTCAGTTTGACAAATTAATCTGTGTCATTAACTTTCACACATGGACAATCATGTTTCGTTGCACTAATTAGTCTCGTAATAGTATTCACTGTCACATTTGTCTGACTCATAATGCTATTCAAATTCTACCAACCAATTTGCATTATACCTATCATGTAAGTTACCTGATATCTCATAGAATGTTTCGATGTCATATAGCTGAAGGTGATTACCAGGAAACATTGGACTATGCTAGTTGGTGACTGGTAGAAAGGTGTGTTTAGAAACCTAGGGCAACTAATACTCCCTGTAGTATTTGGATCCTTGTCAACCAGCATTACACTTTAGGTTTTTCCTGTATTACAGTTCATCGGTATCATAATTCGAAGATAATATTCTTTGCAATCACTCAACTTTTAATAGATTTCAAGTTACTTCTAATGTTTTGTCTTAAATAGCCTGAGAAGCTACTTGATACGTTACGCAAGATAAAACAACTAGATGAGATTTGTGAATCACACGGAAAATTCGATATTAACCCACTTGGTTACGGTACACCAATCTCATCAACTGTTAGTTCATTAAAAAGTAAAGAAGAAAGTCGATCATTAACAGGTCAAGTAAGTTTGTTACAATTTATTTTTTTAATAAACAACAATCCACCACAATCTTGATGCTTATATGAACGCGAGCGCCCGTATCTCTGTGTATGTAGATAGGTCTAAGAATATAATTACACAGATACAGTAGGAAAATATAAAAAAAATCAGTCTTATTCATTCTCTACCATCGTTCAAACCTTTAGTCGGACATCCAAGTTGTATTTTAGTTGCTGGAAATGGAAGACCTTAACCACTTTTTCGTTAGAGTAGTATATTCGCCAACTATAAATTCTTTCATGGCGCATTTTGAAAGTGAATCAATTGAAAGGCTTGGATATAAACCCTGGTTATAGGACTTGATTGACGCCTAATTTAAGTTCAAGATAAATTGAATGGAAAGTAATTATATTTATTCTTTACTAGTAAAGTGAATTACCTTATGAATGTTAAATACAAACTCATCTTTCTAAAACTTTCCTTCTAAGATTTCTTTGTATATTAAAAGTGTATAAAGCAAACAAAGCGAAACGAATTCACTCCATTTCAAACCATTTTCCTGTTATTGCTTCCTAAAAGTTTTTACAGATTAATATTATTGAAAAGATGCCTCATACTTCTGTCTTGAAAACCTAATTTTTCAACTGTAAAGTAACCAGTTTTACTGGTCACAAATCACTATCTATGGCTGTTGTTGTTGCTCATATATATTATTATTATCTGTTGAGATCCACTAGTATTACTGTACATCCTTTTTTCACTCATCCCCCATGAATTTTGTATAAAATTTAGGTTATCTCTCCTTATATAGACAGTTCATCATTTGTGTCCATTGAAGAAGGGTGTGTCTGAGAAGTTTATTAACATCCTAAAAGCCCTATATACAAACACGTCAGGCAGAGTGAGAGCATACAACCACCTTTCTCCATTGTTCCATTCGAGCAGTGGGGTTAGACAGGGTTGCCCAATCTCACCATTCCTCTTCAACTTTGCCATCGACGACATTCGGGAAACAGCTCTGATGGATGTAAGTAATGATGGTGTGGATCTGTTGCCTGGAGAAAGATTTCTCGACCTTCAGTACGCGGATGATATTGTCTTACTGAGCGATAATGCCCAAGCCATGCAATCTGCACTTAATCAGTGTCCGTAAGTATGGCATGTACTTTGCACCTTCGAAGTGCAAAGTACTTCTACAAGACTGGTAGGATCCTAATCCTGTACTCACCCTGGATGGTGAGCAGATAGAGGTAGTCGAGAAGTTCGTGTATCTGGGTAGCTGCATAAGTGCTGGTGGGGTGTGAGTGATGAGATCAGTGCACGTATAGTGAAAGGCAGAGAGGCTTATGCCAATCTGGGCCACCTTTGGCGCCTTCGTGATGTTAGTCTGGCTGTAAAAGGTCGGATCTACAACGCGTCGGTGAGAGCAGTTTTGCTCTATGCTTGTGAAACCTGGCCTCTCCGAGTTGAGGATGTTGGACGACTCTCTGTGTTTGATCATTGTTGTCTCTGAAGGATTGCGGACATCCAGTGGCAACACCATGTTAGTAATGCAGAGGTTCGGCATCGTGTGTTCGGTCACAGAGATGATAATTCAATTGGTGTCACCATCTTGAAACACCGACTTCGGTGGCTTGGACATGTTCTACAAATGTCGTCCTAGAAAATTCCACGTCGTGCATTATTCCCCGACTCGGACTAGTTGGAAAAAGCGGAGAGGTGTTCAGTGTATGACATGATGTCGTGGCATGAAAGAAAGCTGCAAAGGACTGGCTCGTGTTGGTCCTTCACGATTCCCTGGCTGGGGTCCGAGAGATGGTGCTACACAGTGGCTAGAGATGTTATCAGATATGGGTCAGAATAGAAACCAGTGGCAATCCTGATGTAACCTTCTTTTACTTTCTTCGTAAAAAGTGGTTGTATCTTCTTTAACTGGAAGATTTCTTCTGGTTGTACCTTTCCGTTTCCCCATTATTATTATTTCACTACCTCACACCAATCTCTTCGTTATTGTTCTCTTTTTTTCTACGCTCCTTACATTTTTTTCTTTTTCCTTCTCTTTAAATTCTCATTGTTTTGTATGGTGCATACATATTTATGTGTTCAAATAAATAAAAAATATCTCTCCTTAGCTTTTCTTTAGTATATACTGCTTTACTACTATAGCTTTGTTTATAGTAGTATGACAACTTTGAAATAATAATAATATGTCTTTACAATTTTTTCCGAAATCCCATCCCCGTCGCCACTGTTATGACTTGTCGTTTAATGCTACTTTTTATATCTCATCGTCGTCGTCATCGTTGTGTTTTGGGGGTTAATAAATTTTCACTTTTACCAGTCTTTATGTTCTTACTGTCGTGTCGTGGGAATTGGAGAGGTCCCTTGTTCCGAGTATAAGTGATAAGCATTTCCGACACAACAATCAGCGACGAACAGATATAACAAGTAGCATTAAATGACAAGACATATCAAATAGTATGTCTGAAGTTTTGTGTAATTCCATGACGTACTCTTATCTGGTAAATAATCATATGACTTGTGTAATAGGCTTATGCTGTCAACGGTAAATTTGATTGACTTTACCGTGAACTAATCTGTAAAATATTATACAACACCAGTTTTGTTTACTTGGCAGTTTCACTTTGCATTAGCTATACTTCAAAGTACCATTTAGACTTTGCATTATTCGTATGACCCCCGGGCTGCATAAAATCAGAGATAACCACAGTTCCTAATAAACGTGTATTCTCGAATTTACGATTATTAAACGACAGTTTTACTAAATTCATGACAAATTGGGTGGAGAAAGCTACAGTAAATGTTCAGCTAAGTTATATGCCCTATTTCACAACCAACTGATCGTTATGATCTAAAATAAGAATACATTTCCTAATTCCACTTCATTCACATTCACTTGCCAATTTGGCTTCTATGGAACTAGTTGCATCAAGCATACAATTAAGCATGTCTGTCACTGAATATCATCTCATCTGGTTAGAAAGGGATACTAGTTAAGGTCAGTTGAATGTTTTAGACTGGTCCATCTAATTGTTATGTGGGTCATCAAGTGAGTACAAATAATACATTTCGAATAATCCCCTGGATAATTTCGTTTTATCCAATCGAATGTGGGAATCAACACCTAAACGTTCTCATTTGACCATATTTATTCTTACAGTAATTTAGTGTCTAGTGAAATGTCCGTTCATTTTATATAACGAACTAAATGGGAAAAAACACCTTATTTAAGATGTTTGTTTAAATCTTTGTGAAATACATTATTTCGCGAAACTTTGACTAGAATCAACCAAAATGGGAATTTTCTAAACCATCATTTTGAACTTTTCAAACTGCTTATCTAAAGTTAAATTCAAGATAATAAGACTCCTATCCTTAGTATAGTTGGTCGTTACAAATATTTCACTATTATATTTCACACCGATAATCCTATAAAATACATCTTACTATTACATTCACCTAGCTGTCATATACTTACAGATTACCACGCAACTAGTTTGGACTACTTAACAGACACATTGACGTACTACCCAGAACAGTATTATTACGAATTATTTATCCTACTGAATATATGTTATGGATGCTAGATCCCCAGAAATCACTTGATAAACGTCGTATTTTTTTAATTTCAAATTTCTTATTTTTGCGCCAAAAGCGCTCATTTTTATCTTCAGATTGTATTTCCCATTTTAAAGGATCCTAAATGCCGTTGGTTCGTCCCCTATTTTAATATGCTATTTTGTGACATTTCCCAATGACATTTTTATGCTGTATTTATGCGCTTGAGCTGTGTGCTTGTTGTTCATACTTCTGGCTGCTTGTTGAATATACCTTTCCTTCATCGGAACCGGGTCTTTGGGTTAGTGGGGCTGGGACACATCGGAATAGTTAAGCTTGTCTTGTCGTTGTGTCGCTGATCCTTCGTTCCGTTCGCCGATTTAGTTAATCTTGTAATCTCTTCAAACATAGCAATATACTAATGGCAAAAATGAATGAACAATGAAGATTGTCTTCCTCACTGTTACTGTGATGTGGCAAGGAAATGCGGGTAGATATTTGAAGAGCAATCATTAAAAAGCTAAGTTTTAACACCTTCGTTATTGATTTGGTTAATCTCCTGTCTTGCTATACTGATGTGGTGTGGTGAGTTCGAATTATTAAACGTTTGTGTCAGATCTTACACCGATCATGACTATATGAAATTTGTATCTTTGCACATAGTGTTTAAATCTAGAAGTAACAACCGTTCATGATTAAATTATTAAACAGTGTACCATGTCTTTGATACCCACACAAATAATTGATCTGTAACCAATAAAGTGTGATAATTTACGATCGTAAACATTTAGCCTCTTGTAGTTATTTCACTAATACTCTTGTTATTTTCATTAACGTTTTTTTTAAACAATTAGGTTGATAAGTGTTGTAAACATTTAGAATTTATATATAAGAAATATGAAGAACGCTTGGAACACATGAATGCGTTGCAAAGTATACTAGAAGGTGCAGAAATTTATTATAATGTACAATTGAAAGAAGTTGCTGTCGTTGTGAATGTAAGTTCTATGGCATTACTTATCTAACACAGTTGTATTACATTGAAATCATGAATCCATCTAAGTTAGATTACCATTCAAAACCTGAAAGCACCAGATGGCTGTTCGATCCTAGTGTGGAACTCCTCAGCAGTGCTCATCCACTATCCCGCAGGCGGGACTCGAGACTAGGACCTTTGATCTCGCACGCGAATGTTTAACCTATAGACCACTGAGTCGGAATCCAACGATGTTAATGTCTAATCCCAATCAGTTTTATTATTTTATTTTAGTTGAACCAACTAATTCTGAGATGATGAACAGGTTATTATTATTAATATAAATAACTTTATTCAATAGTATACTTTTGATACAATATATAATTCTCAATACAAGATATTTCAGCAAGTTTTTTTACAAAAAGAGTGAAAATAATTGATAACGTACTTACGCCTGTTACTCCTCATGAAGGAGCATAGGCAGCTCACCAGCGTTCTCCATCCAACCCTGTCCTGGGCAATCCCTTCCAGTTGTTATTCATCCTCTTCATATCTGGTTCCATTTCCTGACGTAATGTGTTCTTTGGCCTTCCTCTTTTCCGTTTCCCTTCAGGATTCCAAGTTAGGGCTTGCCTCGTGACGCTAACGCTAACTAATAACTGCATACGTATATATCCAAGTACATAAACTACCTGGAATATATGGTATATTCGACACAAGATTGTAACTATAAAATGAAATATGCATCAGCGTTTGTGTTCTGTTCTGTTTTTTTAAAAATTACCTCTCATCGCCTTTTGTGTCGTTTATTCGGTTAGGCCTATGGTACGTACGGAAAACGTGTTACAAAGACACTTTCTCAACTGCATGATTTAATCCATATGGATCATACTTCATCATCGTCATCACCGTCTAGAGCTACTACTACTACTTGTCAACCTGATCATAATAAACAGTCAACAAAATACAACAGAGAGAACTGTTTAAATGAATCACTTTATGCAGGTGATGAATATTATGAAGATTTAAATGATGGATTTACTCATCACGATGACGACGATGATAATGATGGTGTTGGCGTTGACTTGGAATACCATGAAGATATCGATGTTGATAAAGAAGACGGTAGTATCAACAATAATAACAAAACTGAAAAATTGAACACAAAATTGTTAAATAAAAAAGATATCGAATATTCTTCTGACATCATTAATAATCAATCACCGATTGATATATCCTCAAAAGTAATCACAGATAGTTTAACTAATCGAATCAATAATCAATCATCAAATATTTTCAATTTACTTGTTAAATCAAATAATTCTACTACAATTGGTAAAGAATGTGATTCCAAGTCATCAATGAATCAGTCCCAAACATTTCAATCAATTTGTAAGCCAACACCATTTGGTTTTCCTATTTTTCAACCAGTTTGTGATGCTTCCGGTGATGTAGATTATCGAGTATTATTAAATCCAACATTACCTAATTTAGTTAAAACTAATGATGATAATAATTCCAGGTAACTAATTTTGATGTTCTTTATTCATTTTACATACTATATAAATTATTATTTGATAAAATTGTAGTACATGAATAAGCCAGTCAAAATCAAATAGACAATATTTAAGATTTTTGCGCAAAATTCAAAATTTCCTTTTTAGATGGAAGCCGGTTTGTTCGCTTCCACAGTAGGCTGTTGCTGATAGTATCCGATCAACGGACATTGAGTATTCTGCCTAGACAATGATTTATAAATACTTGTACTTCTTTGGTGATAGTCGTAGTAGTTCTTGAAGTTTCACCGCTGTACAGTAGAACTATCTTGACGTTGGGAATTCAGATTTTTACTGTGATATCAGTTGACAGTTGTTTTGAGTTCCATATATTCTTTAACTGTGGGAATGCTACCCTTACTTTGCCGATCCATGACTTTACATCTGCATCAGATCATCTTTGTTCATCGATGATACTATCCGGGTAGGTACGTGAAAGTTTCCACCTCTTCCAGAGTTTCTTCATCAAATGTGATTGGACTGGTGTTCTCTGTGTTGTATTGGATGGTTTCCTTTTTCCCCCTGTGTATATTGAGGCCTACTGATGTAGAGGCTTCTGTCTTGACTTTCATTTCTTGGTGTGCATGGGATGGGGGAGGTAAGTGATCTGCGAAGTCCAAATCGTCTAGTTGCATCCAACCTGTCCATTGTATTCCGTGCTTCCCCTCAGATGTGAGGTTTTCATAATCCGGTCAACCACCGGAAAAAAGAGAAAGGGTGAGATTTAGGCAGCCTTTTTTGAATCCGGTCCTTACTTGGAATGCGTCCGTCAGTTGTCTCTCATCCACCGTCGTATGAATTCCAGATGATGTTGGCGATCTCAGCTACTCACTCCACATTGTCGAAAAACGTTCCATAAGGTCCTCCTATCCACATTGTCAAATGCTTTCTCTTAGTTAACGAAGTTGATGTATATTGACAAGTTCCATTCAATTGATTGCACAAAAATGATCCATAGTGTGGCGATTCGGTCTGTGCACGACCGATCCTTGCGGAATCCGGTCTGTTGATCTCGAAGTCGAGCGTCTATTGAATCTTTCATCCGGTCCGATAGCACTTTGTTAAGAACTTTTCTTGGTACCGATAGCAGTGTGATGCTTCTGTAGTTCTCACACTTGATCAGATCTTCTTTCTTTGATATCTTGATGAGGTATCGTTATCTCTAGTCTGTCAATGGGACTTATTCTTCTTCCCAGATCTTCCTGAATGGTGTATGAAGCGTGTTTGCAGTTGCTTCTGTGTCTGGCTACAGTTCTTCAGTTGGTTTATTGTCAGGTTCTGCTGCTTTCACACTCTTGATTTATCTGATGGCCATTCTGATTTCTTCGATCGTTGGTGGAGTGACATCTACCGAAAGGTTTGTTTGTTCTGCTTTCGACGTCCAGTGGATTCAGTGGAGCTGGTCCATTCAAGAGTTCCTCAAAGTGCCCTACTGATCTGTTCCTCTGTTTTTGAATCGCAGTACTTGGCTTGCCTTCTTTATCCTTGACCTGTCTCTCTAGTTTACCATACTTCCCTGTTAGTTTTGTTGTTTGATGTTTCCCACGAATTCCCTCGTACGGCCGAGAGTGGGGAGAGTCCGCTCTCCCTCTCGATATGCTCTCACATGGCCACGCGTATATAGCCTCTGCCAGGGAAGTCCTACTCACTGCCTTCTCGTGGCACTATTGTTGTTTACGAAAATGAGAGGACGAAAAGCGAATGTCTGGCGCTTTAACCGGATTCCAAACCAAATCAATGGTGCACATGGGCTCCAGTATCCTGAGGGAACAAATGGCGTATGAACCAATTGTTGGTCACTGGCTTCCATGGGACTGCATCTCCTTACGATGTTCCACCGCCTTGTGGATCAAACCTTCAGGTCGAAGGCTCGGGGTGTGGCCTCCTAAGAAAACCACCTGCTTCGGTTTGGGCACCCGAGCAGTATCACAACCCTCACACATATCGAATGAGATTTGTGTGGCGTATATGTATTTGGTGACTCCTTGTACCAATATCTATGTGTTAAAATAAAATAAAAATTCCTTCTCTTGCAGTTTTATCCACTGTCTTTTTTAGGTCTTCCACATATTTCTGCTTGTCAGCTCTAATGCTCCTCCCCACTTGCTTGGCTGCTTCAGTGTATTCAGCCTATGCCTTAAATTTCCCTGCTCTTGTTTGGTTGTTGTCAATTGCTGTCTTCTTGTTCTTCCTTTCTTGAATCTTGTCCAGGGTTTCGATAGAGATCCATTTCTTATGATGTTGCTCGTTGCCGTCCAGCACCTGACACCTTGAAATTAGTGCTTGATTGATCGCTTTCTAGTTGCTCTTCATAGTAGTGCCCTCTTTCAGCAGATCCTGTGGGGCTTGTCACCTGTTGTTGGTAGTTATCTTGAATTCGTTGAGTTTGTCAGTATCTTGTAGGAAGGTTGTATTGAACCTCTGTACTGCTGTTTCCCCGGCTGTCCAGTGTTTCTTTAGCTTCAGTTTCATCTTGGCCACAGCAGGTAGATGGTGATCCGAAGCTATGTCAGATTCTCTCCTCCTTCTCATGTCTTCCATTGACCTGAATCTTTTAGTGGTGCAAATATGATTGATCTGTTTCTGTGTAGTGTGGTCCGGTGATACCCATGTAGCTCTGTGTATACGTTTGTATAGGAATATTGTGCCGCCAGTAACCACTTTGTTGAATGCACAGATTTGCAAATCTGTCGCTATCCTCGTTTCTTTTTCCCAGTCCATGCCGTCTGATAATATCTTCATATCCGGTGTTGTCTATTCCGACTTTGGCGTTTAGATCTCCCATCAGAATGGTGAGGTCCTTTCTTCGGCACTTCTCTATGATTGATTGCAGCCGCTCGTAGAATTGGTCTTTAATGTCGTCGTTGCTATCATTGGTGGGCGCATAACATTGGATAATATTCATTGTGATCCCCTCCTGTGTTTTGAATGATGCTCTGATGATTCTGAATCCGTGCGATTTCAATCCTACAAGTGCATTTCTTGCTACTTTGGACAGCATTAGACCAACTCCTTGAGTGTGTGTGGGACCGCAAGCTACTTTGCTCACCACTTTCATGAAGTCATCCAAATCCAGCCAGTGCTCATCTATACTTTCCGGTGGGTTGATAGTTTTCTCTGAACCTAGCTCGGCTTGATATTTATTTACAACAGAAATTGTAGCCAATTTGCTGACATCAATCCGTTTAGGACGATAAGTTTATTGGCTAACTGAAACGTAAAGTAAGGTTGGCGCAGACAAAGGCATGACCAGAGTCCAGATAGGTACTCCAAAAGGAGTGTTAGTCTTGTACACAACCACACCAGCGTTAGCCGATCACAATGTGACCAATCTGAGTCCAGGTTTGAGATCCAGAGGGTGGACGCCAGGTAACACCGCTATGACTATTCCGGTAGTTAGTGCTGGCCAGGAACAGGTTGTAATCTGCGAAAAGTTGCAGTAGATGGTCCTCTTCATCTGATCTGCGACCAACAAGTCCCCATCGGCCACCTAAACGACTCTCTTCTGTGCCTAGATGCCCGACCTGAACACTCAAGTCTCCGGCTAGTACTACAATATCTGTTGAACGCACTTTCTGTAGAAGAGCACTTAACTGGTGACAGGATTCATCCTTGATCGCATCCGGGTTGCAATGTTTCGGGACGTAAGTGGTATTAACAAAAGACATCTTTCCTCACACCGACTTGTTATTACTTTGCTGGGACCTTCTAAATCTAACAACACATAATTGACTGTTAATGGAGATCCAATCAATCAGTGCCGCCTCAGCTCTAGTGCTCAGTGCGACCAGACGAAGATGCGACAGGGTCCTTTTATAAACGCATGTGAAACAAGATTTTAAATGGGCAGATGGAGAGCGAATTCACTAGAGTTTTAAATACAGGTATAATCCATATGGCAGTGGAGCAACGTTAGATAATGCAGTCTCATGGTACGCGGTGATCAAGAATAGGTTCATACTCCATTTGTTCCCTCAGGTTCCCGGAACCCATGTTTACCACTGATTTTGAATAAGGGCTTTCCATCTCTTCGAGGCGCATCCTCCGTGCCCACCAACCCGGTTTAAGCTTCGGCCATTTACTTTGCATCCTGTCAATTTCGTCAACAACGCCGCCGCCAGAAGGAAAGTAAGACTACCCTGGAAGTGACAATATAGACGTCGTCATATGTGGGTAATGCGAGAGGGAGAGCGAACTTACTAATCTCTCCTGTGTCAGGACGTTCGAGGCTAATCGTACAGAGGAATTAAAAGTTATCACCAATTGTCAGGTGGTGTAACATTATCAATCAAGTTCCTAATTTTCATTACAATGGATTCTATCTCAACGGTCTAAAGTTATCAAGCTTACTCAGAGCTTCATTTGTAGGGAGACACCATAAATGATAAAAGCTAGACGAACTTTATCAACCCGTAGTAAATTTTGCCAGATACCAACCCATCACAGTTGATGAGATGTCCATGTACTCAACAACTACCTCTTATCATTGGTTTAGACGTTAACTAAGGCCAGTTCTAAAGCAACATCTTCCACTTAGAATTAGAGAAATGAATCACAATCACGCTTGTATTGTTGCTCAAAGCTATCAGAGGACTGCGTTTTCTAAATCGCTGAAAAATCTCTGTATTAGATAAATCTCTGAAAAGTTATCTGTATGTTATATCTGAAAGAGCCGTAATGTAGGATAAAGCAGGTAAGTGGCTCGTGAGGAATATTAACTTCTAATCCTTTTAATGGTTGCTATTTTACGACACATTTTTTATAATTCAATCTTACCCACATAGACCGGAAATGATCCCAATTTCAAAATTACAAGATCCAATAGTTACCAATCCTTCAGAAGTTAACCCTATTAATTCTTTATCCAATATGCCTAAAATGAATCCTCATGACGCTTCCGTTGTTGTTAATGCCAACAATTATTCGCATAAATTTAAAAGTTTACATAAAACTGTTTATTCAACTTGTACCAGTTCAAATACTCAGAATAATAAAGATGCTGTCAGTGATTATCATCATCAACAACAACATGGTCATGATAAGACGATAAATAAAACAAGTCATACCGCTGTTGATGATGAAGAAGATAATATGGAAGTATCAGATGGCGAAGAACCTTCTGATATAACAAATCAAAGCATACTGGATAAAAAAGTAAATCCAAATGATCAGTCTGATGTATGCTCACAACAAGATAAAGATTGGCGTATATTTACTGAAGTGAAGTGTAATGTAATGAAACCAATAAACTGCGTAAGTTGTATGCTTGTTTTTCCTGATTATCAAAGTTATTGTCTAATTGAAAGGTTTTGATTGAGATTAGTTTAATTGTTTATTCGTTGTGTCCATCACAGATGAGTTAGGAACAACGGTATAGCATAATATATTGTTTTGTAAATCATTTGATGTGTGACGCGTCGTTGACTACTGATGGTATTTGTCCGTGTGCACTTTCTTTCAAATTCAAACTGAGGTTAATAATGATAATACTACTAATAATAATAATAAGCTAATTATAGCGTAGTTACACTTAAAAGTTGAATGATTCTATAAGATTTTTTTGGAAACTGTAATCATCGTAAATTATTCCCAAATTTCATAAATTGTGTTAATCAAGTTGGTTTATAGTAACGTAATATATTGAATTAGTTTAAATTGAGTCATGAAGCTTGGCAATTAAAAATAATATCAGAAGGGGTTCGTGGAGATTTTAGAAATTTTCACAGATTGAAATCATGAGTCAGTTGAAGCTAGACCACCAGGTTTGTTGTGAGATATCAGCTCACTGAAAACAATAATGTAGGGTGGCACAACTTCGTGGATTAGTTGAAGTTACACATTAACACCGTTGGATGCCAGCCGGTTCAGTGGTCTAATGGTTAAGTGCTCGCGTGCAAAGCCAGTAGGTCCTGGGTTCGAATCCCGCGGGGTGCGGGATCGTGGATGCACACTGTTGAGGAGTTCCATACTAGGACGAAACGGCCGTCCAGTGCTTCCAGGTTTTCAGTGGTGGTCTAGCTTCAAATGACTCATGATTTCAATCTGTGAAAATTAAAAATAAATTAAGTAACGGATTAGTTTTCCAACGATTTCAGAAAGAATTAATGTGGTTGTTTCTTATCATATTCAATGAGACTGTTTGTAAACATTTATAGGAATGTTAATTTTGTGGTTTACACCATGGGGTGACTTTAGTTCGACAGCTACTAAAAATCCAAGAAAAGTGGACAGTTGTTTCGTCCTAGTATGCAACTCCTCAGCATTGTATGTCCATGACACCACTAATTTTTCTGTTCATAACGACTTCGATTCAGTATGAACAAGATACTGTTCCCTTACGGTCTTTCTGACTTCTTTTCATAGCTAACTGGAACAGCATCTGATAATAATCCTACAACTCCTACCATTTCGCCCAACAATCCAGTAGTAGGCTTGACTGTGCCATCTGAATCTTTTATGCAACCAACTCCACCACGACCGCCTACGTCTGTACGTATTCCTCCTCCTCCGGCGCCTCCACCATTTGTTGTTGGGGGATTAGATAGTCAACATTCTTTCAGTCCACCGCCTCCTCTTCCTTCAACATTGAATGAACTAGCTTATCAGCAGCACCATATAGTACCTGTGACCAAATCCGACTCATTCATTCCACAACCTCCAGCACCACCACCAATGTTATTGAATTTGAAACAGGTCAATACAACTATTACTAGTAGTGCTAGTAGCAGCGGTAGTAGTGAATTGACAAAATCTTCTGAACAATCATCTGTCAATTCTTGTGAAATTATCCAGTCGGAAAAATTATCCGCTATTGATATATTAAAAAATCTATGTCAATCATCATCTTTACAATCGTCAAAATCATCTTCCTCCTCATCGTCGTTGTCATCATCATCGTCATCATTCAATTTTTCTTCTAATGTTATGACAACATCAATTTCTTCATTTATTTCTCCTTTTTCATCTATACCACTGTCAATATCCACATCATCATTATCTATTGAGAATGATATTACTTCTTCATTGTCTAATAGTAATATTCCATTATTATCACCTAATAATATTCAACAAGATATAATAATGAATTCATTAAATGCTATTAAAAATCTACCCATTTCAACTTCTTCTTCTTCATCATCATCATCATCATCATCTTGTGAGACGAATATTCATCAAAATGTAAATAATAAAATGATAGAAGATCCATTTGCTGTTATTTCTCGTTTAACTGGACTATCGAATTTAATGAAAAAGTAAATTAATAGTCATTTATAAATTGAATTAATTATTCTAATAAAATCTTTTTGTGACAGTAAAAGTATAGTGAATACAGTAATAGTTTAATAAATAATATTTCTGGTTAGCGTTTTTTAGCGAGTTGGGATGGGGTCACTAACGCAATGTCCAACCCTCCTCCTTTATCCGGGCTTGGGACCGGCAGTAGCCCCCAGAGGGACTCTAGGCGGAGTTAATAGTTTAATGACTAGATGTTTAATTTTTGATCACTAAGTTCAAAGTTTAAACTCTACTTTGTCTATTTCTCCTTGAGTAGTAATCAAGTAGTATTACTAGTTTTTACACTTGACCTGAATCTTATATCCAAGTACCTGGTTTTGTTTATTGTATTTATCTGTTTGAACACATAAATATTGATATAAAGGGGCACCGAATAAATATGTGTCACATAAATCACTTGATTTGTGTGTGGGTTATGTTACTGCCCAGATGCCCAGATCGAAACAGGTAGTTTTCTTAGAGGGCCACGCTCGGAGCCTTTGACCTATAGATCTGATTCACAAGACAGTGGAGCAACGTCAGGAGATGCAATCCCCCATGCTAGCCGGTGAATTAATTAACTGTATAAAGTAATAAACTAATCAGTATCGAGAGAACAATTATCTTAGTGCGCAAATTTCAAAATTGAATGACTTTCAATCATTTTGTCACATTTATAGGTATGAGCAGGATTCAAAAACAAATGCCCTGGTACGGCCGAGAGTGGGGAAAGTCCGCTCTCCCTCTCCAAATGCTCTCACATGGCCACGCGTATATAGCCTCTGCCAGGGAAGTCCTACTCACTGCCTTCTCGTGACATTACTGTTGTTTACGAAAATGGGAGGACGAAAAGCGAATGTCCGTTGCTTTAACCGGATTCCAAACCAAACCAATGGTGCACATGGGCTCCAGTATCATGAGGGAACAAATGGCGTATGAACCAATTGTTGGTCACTGGCTTCCATGGGACTGCATCTCCTTACGATGTTCCACCGCCTTGTAGATCAAACCTTCAGGTCGAAGGCTCGGGGTGTGGCCTCCTAAGAAAACCACCTGCTTCGGTTTGGGCACCCGAGCAGTATCACAGCCCTCACACATATCGAATGAGATTTGTGTGGCGTATATGTATTTGGTGACTCCTTGTACCAATATCTATGTGTTAAAATAAATAAATAATAAGACAAAAACTAACCATTCAATGAATAATAAAAGCAAGTGTATACATTAGATTCTTATTCATTTACAAATAGAACACAATTTTGTATTTATTGAAAAGTGTTCAATGTTATTCAAATATATTAGGTGAGATACACGTTCAAATTGATTGTACAGATTTCATTCATATCGTTTATGCCCCTCTACATATTTCTTTCTTCTTTATTATCATTGGCAGTATATTTTTTCCCACAATATGACAGTTTATAGATGAGGATTTTTTTGTTAGGGTCCGTGTGATAACCTCACTCCAGCGGTTGGATACGTTGAGTAGCATGGTTCACAATCGTTCGCAATGGGTTAAATATGAATTCACTTTCTTCTATCCTCTCGATTTTAAGTCTCAGTATTCCTTCATACATATCTTACCACTCTTCCTTTTCAAACCATGCTCCCCAGAGTTTATTCATTCTTTTATCACTCCTATATTATTTAAATTTCTTTCGTTATTTCCATCTGGTTGTACTAATTAGGTATAGCAACTTGGGTCAGCATGCATCTGTCCCATGCTCTATACTTATATTGTCTGTTTGCTGTCAGTCATCATCGACGTGAAGCCTGTTACAGATATACATTGGTCCAAGTCACTATACTCCATTAGCACGATGAGATTAAATTAAGAAGATTTACAATAAAAGAGACTAAAGTAACTTAGTAGCAACAACAATAAAAAAAGGACCAAGCACCGAGAATAAAGTTTCAAAAAACGAAATAAGAATGTATCTACGATGAATTACTAGAATCCAAGATCGAGAGGAAAATAAAGAGTGAATATATCTACACCATTGTGGACGATTCTCAGTCATACTCTTTTTTTTCACTCATGTAGTAATTAAATTAGGATAATAAATCGCATTTTATCTAACGCGCCTATTGATTTGAAATTCAGTATATTTTTTTATTACTTATTAAATTTTTCTTTTTCCCGCCTGTTTACACGTCCTCATGTGTTGTTGTAGCATCCCAGCACAATCGAATCCTATTACACTGTCAGTTACTTCCCCTGTTCCATCCAGTAACCCTGTCCTGGAATCTTTTCATGATACAATTATTTCTACTAGTACTACTATCACAGCAACAACAACCACTGCTGCCACTGATTTATGTTGGAAAACTAACCACCTAATGAATGATCCATTGTTATTGTCATCTACCAATAATGATTTTAAATCAATAGATTGCGTTCAAGAAGTAATAACGACCAATGCAACAATACCAACAACAACAACGAATGTTTCTAATAATTCATATATTCCATGTGTCAAACGATCCAGGTTTTCAGATGCTATCAATATTGAAGATAACAGTAAAACAAATGTTCCATCATCAACCACTAATGCATTATCCACTACTAATGTGACTATTTTATCTTGTACTACTCCTACGACCACAACGACTATCTCATCATCGTCTACCAGTTCTGATCTACTACGTTGTTCGATCGATAAAAAATCATCATCATCTGTTTCTAAAACTTCAATAAATAATGACAATGATGAACAATCGAAATTCTCTGATCTTGATAAAATTAACTCGATGAATAGTAGTAATGATAGTGATAGTTCTCCAGGTGGAGGTGATACACCTACTTTAGATGAAAGACAAGATGATTTATTATCGGGTAATAATGATAAAGATCAATCTCTGATATCATTTCATCCGTTTGGTACGCCAGCATGTAAGTAGTTCTCTTTCTGGTTTTTGTTACTACACTACTTCGAATATCAAAATAATATCTTTCATCTTTAAGTGTACACTGTTAATCCATCATAAGCAATGTAGAATCTAGCATATTGTTTCATTCCCAAAAAGCTCTTATACTATTATCAATACGGCAAGACAGAAATTACCAAGATAAATTTCAGAATAGTAGAAGCAGTAACGATCTCATTGGTAGTAGGAAACATTAAACATAGACATTATAATTCGACAAATTTTGATTTTATTGAATTGAAAGTGTGAATATTTTGAGACAGTGATTTAATAGATCTTTGCTATTACGATCAGTTCTCGTCTGTGTCGACTGCTTCACTTATCTTGAAAGTGTTATCAGCCTTTGTAGTCTGATGTGTAACGAAATCTCAGCACTGATACAAAAGGCTCGAATAGCTTTTGCCAACTTTTGTCATTTATGGCGTAGGCGAGATATAAATCTACCAAACAAAGGACTGGTTTACTGCGTAGCAGTTCGTTCCGTCCTACTTTATGGCTGTGAAACATGACCAGTAAGAGTAGAGGATATTCGTAGGCTACTAGTATTTGATCATAAGTGTCTTCGAAGCATTGTTTGTATATCCTGGGACCATCGAGTAAGTAAAGCAGTTGTTAGGAAACGGGCACTAGGTAAGTATGACAAATCAAGTGATGAAGTGGTGAAACTGCATCAGTTGAGATGGCTGGGACACGTGTTACGTATGCCCAACGACCGACTGCCTCGACGTGCGGTTTTTCATGGTGTAGGTTGGAAGAAAGCTAGGGGCGGCCAGACCAAAACATGGCACAAGTCCATGAAGTCACTGACAAGTGGACTGAGTGAGTCATGTTGGTAGGTGTAGACTACCTGGTTGGGAACCGCGAGATGATAGCAACCGACGGTTAGAGACCTTGAATGACATGGCTCAAAATCGTTTGCAATGGCACAGGTGCATCCACTCTTTGTGTTCTCCCAAATTATAATCTGAATTCTTCATGTCTCTTTTTTCTCTTTGCAAATTTATTTCGCTGTGTTATACTCCTTGAATAATATCTTCAAACCATAATCTTTCGGATTATTGTTTATACTCTTACTACCTCTACCACTACGAGATTTGAATGGACAACTGCATCTCTGTGCTAATGTGGTATGGCAACTCGAACTGATGTAGATACGTACGAAGTTCTACGTTGTTACTGACTGACTGTGTCTTTCATCATCTCCAACTGCTTGTTACGATAATCGTACAGACTTTAATATATCAATTGAGAATATACATTTCAATCAATTCTCTTCAGGTTTTTCAGTAGGTAACAACGTGGAACTTCGAACGTACGTACACCAGTTTGAGTTGCCATACCAAATTAATAAACTTAAAAGTGATCAGCAAATACACCATTTAAAATAAAATTGTTCACGAATTCTAAACAGATGTATTATACGAATGAATAGTAGTACTAGGTATATGAAATTAAAATAAGCAATTTAAGAAAACTATATGAACACAGTGAATTAATTAAATAGATAAATTTTAATAATTGAGATCATGAGTCAATTGAAGCTAGATCACCATTGAAAACCTAGCAGTACTGGATGGCTGTTTCGTCCTACTATTGGATGCGCAATGCTGAAGAGTCTCACAGTAGAACGAAACGGCCGTTCAGTGCTTTCAGGTTTTCCATGATGGTCTAACTTCAATTGACTCATGATCTTAACTACTAAAATCCACAAAGCCCCTTCTGAAATAGATAAATAATAATAATATATCTCGAAGTTACAAACGATCTTCATTTGCCTAAAAAAACTTGTGTAGTAAGCACTGTAGAAGTGACTAAAACATTTAAGATTTTCGGGTTCAAACTCCCCTCCACATAAACTGATGGAGGCCACACAAGTAACATAGCTAAAATATATCTCAATCCCAAGTATACAAGCTCGTAGTTGGCAGGTGAATTACGCATGATATGTGTATAAAATACTCTTAGAAGTTTGGTGAATATATTTACTTAAACTTATCACTACCGTGTGCGTTTGGAAATAATCGACGATTTTGTGTCTTGTGATAATGGCATTGTTGTGGTGTGGCAGGTGAGGTCAGTTATTGTATAGTGATAATTAGAATGGTTTCTTCTTTTTTCATTTGGGCCAACACTAAACGCTATTTGGTCATAAAATATCCTTAAAACTGTGATTTCTGCCTATAGGACAATAAAGCATAATTTTCAAATTTGAATTCTTGTATTTTTTCTTGTTTATCAGTCAGTCACAATGTAAAACCTGGTAAATATGTACATCGGTTCAGATTGTCATACCCCGTTAGCAGAGAGAGATGAAATTGTCGGGTCAAATCCCAGAATAGTAGAGGTAGTGATAGTGGTAATGGAAAAGATTAGGCATCGAAGATGCGATCCGAAAATAAAATATGAATTAGTGAAATAAAACACAGAAAAAGTTATGGAAAATTGAGTATCTCAGAATCTGGAGACGACACAGGCTGGATGCATCTGAACCATTGCAAACAATTTTGAGTTTTCATTCAAAGTCTCTAACCATTGTTTACAATAATCACACGGACTATCTATAGTGTATAATCTAATTAAGTGGTTCTTTAGTCATAGTCACACAAAACTGTTTTTATGTTGCCCATTTTCCTTCAATTATTTGTAATTTTCTAGCAAGTTTAGCGGATTTTTTAATTCCCAATTCCTGTCATGGAACAGATCCAAAATCTTTTCTGTCAAATATTCCTCATAGTATCGTTTCACAGACTTCAATTACTCCTTCTCCTATTCCATCATTAACATCTGGATATAGATTACCATTTTGTAATCTTTCAAATTCTATGAATAATACTACTTCAATTCCTGTTGTCAATTCAATGAATATACCTTCAACACAATTATCAATGATCCAACCAACTGTACTAACAGCGAATAATAATCCTAACATGCCTATAACGAATTCACAGGTATACTGAAGAATTTTGTTTGTAATATGTTTCTATATATATATATAATTGAACAGTAAAATTTCTATTCGTTTAGTACGGTAAAGATAACGCTACGAAGTGACATCAGCACTCATGCCCGTAACAACACACGAGATCAAGTTGGTCACAATGACTGACTGACAATTAATCCCAATTATCATAACTTTTATATCATCAGTTAATTAGAGAAAACATAAAACGGAATAAGCATCATTGTGCATGAGCTTAAGTGCTCGTATTTCACACCAGCATAAAGAGAGGGAATAATATCTATTGCGATGAAATACTGTTTATAGAAACAGACAAGATCGAGTAATGTAGAGTATGGGATGATAGCTTAAACTATATAGAGATACAAAGAATGAAGATAACCATTATAACACTGCAATTAGTTTCAGGCAGTGTTATGCAACATTTCCAAATGCCCTGGTACGGCCGAGAGTGGGGAAAGTCCTCTCTCCCTCTCCAAATGTTCTCACATGGCCACGCGTATATAGCCTCTGCCAGGGAAGTCCTACTCACTGCCTTCTCGTGGCACTACTGTTGTTTACGAAGATGAGAGGACGAAAAGCGAATGTCTGGCGCTTTAACCGGATCCCAAACTAAATCAATGGGGCACATGGGCTACAGTATCCTGATGGAACAAATGGAGTATGAACCAATCGTTGGTCACCGGCTTCCATGGGAATGCATCTCCTTACAATGCTCCACCGCCTTGTGGATCAGACCTTCAGGTCGAAGGCTCGGGAAGTGGTCCCCTAAGAGAACCACCTGCCTCGGTTTGGGCACCTGGGCAGTATCACAGCCCTCACACATATCGAATGAGATTTGTTTGGCTCTTATGTATTTGGTGCCTCCTTGTAATAATATCTATGTGTTAAAATAATAATAATCCAACCATCGATTAAAATTATCTCCTCGACTGCAATTTAAAAGAATATAATCACCTGCGACATGGTTCATTTCTAAGGTTTTATTAGTAAAATGGTTATATCGTCCGCTTAGAGTCGGAATAACACTCAAGTTTGTTGCAATATCAGCACTTTAATCTCTTGTTATTATCAATTTTTGATAATTCATTTTTTTTATTCATTCGATTTATTATCTATAGGTAGCTCCTGGACTAACTCATTCAAATATGATGTTTTATGATCCAATGACAAGAATGCCTATTACTCCTAGATCATTAGTACCTGGACCTTTTATAATATCACCTCAGCAAACACGTTCAATAGCAACAGTTCCAGCACAGAATAATTTACAATTACCAACTACACTATTTCGTGGACAGAATTGGTCACAATCGTTAGTCAATCAAACAACATCGTTACAACGTCCTCCATCTAATGATTTTTGGGCACTGATGAGTACAGTTCCCCCACCTCCTCCTCCTCCACCACCACCACAACAACAACCATCAACTCTATGTCAACCGCCTACACTTTCACCATTTAATCCAACTCAAATACGTCAACCATTAATTGGTGGGATGTTGCTTAATCCAAATGCATGGATGTTCTCTTCAACTAATCGAGATCAAAAATAATAATATGAATTACATCGGATAGTACTTCCCATCTTCATTCTGTTGTTTATATATATATTTATATCTTCTTTGGATTATCCATTGAAAAAATATAAAATACATTATACTTTACGTATCATTATTTTCAACACTGTACAGGAAAACAATTCAGATGAGAATCAGATTCCAAACAAAACAATTTACATCATAACTACTACTACTACTACCATAGTCTCAACAATTCCTAATGAATATTGACCATAACTAACAAATGTATATTTTGATGATTGTGTTCTTTTTCTTTTTCTTAACCAAAAAAAAAAAAAACAAACAAACAAACAAATAAATTATCTAATCTTAGTTTTAAAATAATACATGTATATGAGATGAATAGGGGTGTGTATGAGTGTGTGTGTGTGTGTGTCTGTCTGTCTGTTTGTATGTATCCATGTGAGATAATCAATTTCACTTGGAATTTTAAATAGTTTCCTACTTAAAAGTCCACTTTTTTTTTATAAAAAAAAGAAGAGACAAACAATATGTATGAATGAATATAAATATATGTGTGTTTGTGATTGGACTCTTTCACATGTTTTTATTTTCTTGTACATTGTCAAAGCTTTTAAAATGTATTTTACACGATGTAACCTTGTTTTTTTTTTTAGTTTTGCAAGTGTTATCTACAATGAATATTAATATTGTTCTCAGGACAATGATGGTCATGATAGAAAAATTAGGATTCGAATTATATTTTCCGTTTATACTACTTACGACAATGATGGTAAATTAGTTGATGAAGTTGTGAATCTTCATCGACTGAAATGGTTGGGTCACGTGTGACATATGCCTGAACACCCATTACCACAACGCGCCATGTTGACTAGTGTTGAAAATAGTTAGGAGAAAGTTAAGGGTGGCCAAACCAAAACGTGGCATCAGTGCTTGAAGACATTAACCTCTAGGCTGAGCCATGTTGGTAGATGAAAACTACTTGTTTGGGGTCCGCGTGACTATCGTAACCAATGGTTGGAGACTCTTAGCGACATGGCTCAGAATCGATCAACAATGGAGTAGGTGTATACACTCTCTGTCTTACCTTAAACTATGAGATTAAAATTGCTCCATTATCTTTCTTTCTACTTACAAATCTTTCTTCCTGTACTATTCAACTCTGTCCTCGGCAATCCTTTTCATGTCTGCTTCCGATTCACGACAAAATATATTTTGATCTTCCTCTTCTCCGTTTCCCTTAATGATACCAAGTTAACACTTGCTTCATTACTTGTCTGTAATTTATTTTTCTCTGAATATAAATATTGAATCACGCCTGATCAAAGCGAGTTGGTTCAGTAGCCTTATCTGCGCAACACTTCGCTTCTCTGATTGTCTGTCTAGATCAGTGAGTGTATGAATTATACGTATTCAAAATTAATTCTCGTACTTAACTTATTTTATTCGATTGTTCTTTAATGCGAATTACGTCGATAAAAAATATACGTGGGTTAACAGCATTTATATTTCGATAACACTCATCATACGATTTAACTGGAGTCAAATATAGGGACAAAAAAGTACTACAATCTGTGATGGAAATTTATTTTAACTTAAACAATTAGTCTCTCTATTTACGATTTCAGTCAGTCATCAACAAAGTAGAACTTCATACGTACGTACATCAGTCAAAGTTGCCATACCACATTAGCACAGAGATACAATTATCAACTCAAATTCTGTAGTGGTAGAGATAGTAAAAGTATAAGAAGTAATCAGAAACATTAAGGTTTGATGTTATTCAAGGAGTATAACACAGCGAAATAAATTTGCAAAGAGAAAAAACAAAGAGACATGAAGAATTCAGAAGATTATAATTTGGGAGAACACAAAGAGTGGATGCACCTGTGCCATTGCAAACGATTTCGAGCCATATCATTCAGGGTCTCTAACCATCGGTTGCTATCATCTCGCGGTTCCCAACCAGGTAGTCTACACCTACCAACATGACTCACTCAGTCCACTTGTCAGTGACTTCATGGAATTGTGCCATGTTTTGGTCTGGCCGCCCCTAGCTTTCTTCCAACCTTCGAGCCTTCTGTATCCGTGCTGAGATTTCGTCACACACCAGACGATTTAAAGAACTTCAATTGTATATTGAGGAAACTAGTTTATTAGATGTAAGCCTGAATGAATAATACAAAATAACTGGCCAGACAATCAATAATATTTGAAATAGTTGTGTAGTAAACGAAGACTCAGTTGGGAAAGACTAATTTATTGTTTAATGCCAAGTTACAGAGTTCATCCTCAAAATATGAGGACCATACATTTATTACTTCATTTGTGAATCTTCCATCAATCGTAATTTGCATCCTTCATGATTACTCCAATTCCCCGTTCCTTTCTGTTTTCTTCGGTTCAATATTCTCAACCTTCTCTTAACAGGTATTCCACTTCTGATCGGTGTTACATACTACTTATATCTGTCAACATAAGTAGCATATACCACAAAAGGTTATGATAGTAGCATAGAAATCCCGCTTGTTGATAAACCTCAAATTTATTCGTCATGTTACTATTTAATGTCTTAATCTTCGAGGTATAAATGCACGTTTCATTTCAGCACAATAGTAAATACAAGAAATCATTACTGACCATTTGTAATCAATGGATCGTTGAGAAAAATTCAGACACTGAAGAGTGACATCAAACAGACATTTAAGAAAACAATCTATTCTAATGAATGAAGCATATCGAATGGTTACTTGAATGATATGATTCGGTGAAATAATACGTTTATCATGAAACGGGATGCATTGAATAACACGAACACATTCGCTCTTCTCCATTATTTAATACCTTATATTTTCACAGATTGAAATCATGATTCACTTGAAGCTAGACCACCATTGAAAACCTGGAAGCACTGGACGGCCGTTTCGTCCTGGTATGGGACTCCTCAGCAGTGCGCATCCACGAACCCGCACCACCCGGGGCTCGAACCCAGGGCCTACTGACTTCGCGCGCGAGCACTTAACCATTAGACCACTGAGCCGGCTGGCATCCAACGGTGTTAATGTCTAACTTCAACCAATCCACGAAGTTGCGCCACCGTACACCATTGTCTTCAGTGAGTTCCTATCTCACAACAGACCTTATATTTTACCGAACCACAAGAATATCTGAAGATAATACTTGTCGTGTGATTTGTAAAGAAATATTACTTATTCATTTGTCGCTTGTTACCCCCTCATGAAAGAACACAGACCGCTCACCAGTATTCTTGAGTTACTAACAATTCCAATCCCGAGTAAAGGAGAAGGATTGGACATGGAGTCAGGAACCTCATATTGTAGAAAACAACCCTGCTAAAAAAATACTAACCAGAATAAACAAATTAAACAGTTACTTATTCACAATTGAACAAAGATTTGGTTACCACAAAATAATGGTCGAATGCTTTACATTGATTAGTTTAACAATAAAATAATCTGTTCAAACAGAATTATGGATAAACTGAAACGGAAACACACTGGACCAATAGGATACATCAGTTCAAGGACGAATGATAAGTTCGGTATGTATGTTGCATTTGTCAATATTTGGTTTGAATTACTGAAGTAATAGATATGCGTTATTGGTTGGAAATCTTGAGGGGGAGACGGATCTATATTTCTATATGGGTTTGTGCCAATATTTCAATTTGAAGTAACAGGTTGAGCTTGCCTATCAGTGCCAGAAACGAATTGCCAGTGAACACCATATAGGCCTTTAATATAATAGTTAACAGACTATCATATCGATTTATAGTAAAGCTAGTTTTTTCCATTATTTATCCACAAGTCAATAAATAATTCATTTGATCCAATAAAACGTTTCATATATATGTCCAGTATATTGAACATTTGATGTATTGACTTAGTCAATTTTTACACATGCACAAATGAAATATAAATGGGAACTATGAAATAAATTTCACTTTCAAGATTAGTTTCAGGGCAGAAAACAAAGTGATACATGGTTACCAGGGCACTTTTTATTTAACCTCCTGATGAGTGATTAGTCAGATTATGTAGATGGTCTGTGATATATATATATGGTAAGTTATAAACAAAGAACCTGGCACATATGTGCATCGTCACAAGTTGTTACAGTGTATTTGCAGAGTTAAATAGAAACTAGGAAGAAAAATGCGGTGGAAGTAGTAACAGTATCAGTGACAGTAGAAAAGACAAGGTATCGACAATATAATCCGGGAAAAAAGGATGAATCCATGGAATAAAATGTATAAGATAATCTTTAAGCTCAAGATCTAAGAAAAGAAAAAAAACAATGAGTGCATCTGGATTATTTCAGACGATTGTAAGACATGTTACCTAACGTCTCCAACTATTGGTTACGAAAATCACACTGACCAGGTAGCCTGCACTCACCTTCATGAAGCAATCCAACAGTTAACTACCTCAAAAAATGATATCACTTCCTGGTTTAATTACACCTATCTTTCTTTCAACCTACTTCTAGACTAGCAAAACTAGAACGTTGAGTTAGGCGATTAGGCATACGTATTACTTGTCCTAACTACGTCGGTTGATAAAGATTCACTACCTTAATTATTGTGAGATATAAAAATTAAAGCGAAACAAATGAAAGGACTTTTTTGATTAAAAAATAACATAATGTACGTCACAGATTTCAGTTTAATAGTTATTAAAAACCATGAACACCCGGTCATCTCCTCTGATTTATTATAGGACTGCTAATTAGTGCGTACGCAAAGCCCCACCGAGGATCAAACCTATAACCTTCAGGTTTCATATTTAGTGTCTAAACTTGACACCATCAAGTCAGCATTTAATGATTTATATTTCTAAATTCAATTAATTTGTGGTATTGCATGATCATCTGCCGATGTGATTGATGAATAACTATCTCATATCCGACATGGTTGGACTCTATTAGTCACAGCATCACAAAAAGAACTTTTAGAATCCACCTCTTATAGCTAGTAACCAATGAACAAGCATATGATTGTTATTACTAAACAAGGAGTGACTATACGAAGACTGATGAACTTCATGTTGGGATATTCAGAAAAATATCCCAGAAATTATCCTGTTAAGTCTGATGCTATCCTTGGACTTGAAATGGCATCATTTTCCTATTGGTCAATATTTATTTCACGTACCATTTTCCTGTTGGCCAAATATTGTACAAATGTTATTTTCTATTTTATGATACGTTGTGGTCTGTTTGATTGGTATATAAACTCAGTATGTTTGAAAATATAATGATTCATATCTCCGAGGCTGTGACTTGCGTTCTGGACTTATCTGGCTGAGCTAGGCGGAAAGCATGGCCAATCAGAACTCTAAACTGCTCGCACGTGTTTACGCGTCATCGCGCCGATCGATAAGTCACTGCTCTCTAATAGGCAGTTACAAGATATAACACTTCATAATATAAAACATGGACTAATGGCATTATATAGGCAACCATTGAAAAGTTAACACTGAAAAAAAATAACGATACACTAAACGATTATCATTAAAAGAAATAATATTTGTTTTCTTTCGAAGATCTGAAATCTTAGCATAACAATTTCAGCTAGACAAACATATATATACATATACATACGCAAAAGAAAACAGTGATAATAATCTAAATAATCATGAGAGTCACAAGCAAAAAGAAAAGGAACATAGAGGAGAGAATGATCGAAGCCAGTAGCAGTAGTAGTAGTAGTCGTAGTAGTGATAGTAGAGGGGTAATATGCTGTATCAGTCTCTTCCTATAGGTTAAACATTATCCAACATTATAATTCATCTTTAATATATTTATCTGAAAGTAGTTTATCATTGATCATTGGTGATAATGATGATGATGATGCTGCTGGTGATGATGATGAGATAGTGTATTGTTTTTCATAAATCACTGGCCATTCAGTTAATGATTGACATGTAGATAATTCTGTATTATAATAATTTGGTTTATATAAATAGATTGGTCCATTTGGACAGAGATTATTTAAGGTAGTATTTAATAGAAAGCCCATAATTGAACGTTCTTCAACAATACGATAAGTAAATGTCGATGAACTAGTCCCAATGAAATATCTTCAATGAATATTAAAGGAAAAGATACATATAAGAAATAGACAATGATAAATCAGTTTTATAAAAGATTAGTTCAAAATTGAAAAAAGCTTCATTATATGATTGGATAACATTGAGATTAGGACACCTTTTCATCAATGAAAAATATAAATATAAGAAAATATGGATAGTGACTTATAGAATGCTTATGACTTAAGGCTATATCGAGATAATCTGCACAGGATGCACATACATCAATAAGAGACGAATCATTTGCAGTCCTAAAACAACAATGGGAGGATTCAAGTAAACAATACCAAGTGAATTTATAAGTTTAGCCCATTGCACAAGTAGGTGGCTATCAAGACTAAATAGGTCAAGTGGATAATGAGATAGAGTTTGAAGTGAAAGGTACCGAGTTCATGTGCTGCAGTGAACATCAACTCTAAGAAGCAGGTACATCCAGCTGAAGAGTCCTAAATAGGACGAAATGCATGTCGTGGATTCCACTGCTAGCTACCATCCATCTTTACTTAAAATGCTTTTGACTTAAGATAATATCGAGGCAATCCGAACAGATTGCACATATGTAAATAAGAGAATGATGAATTGCAATTCTAGACATCAATGGGAAGATACAAATAATATAAAATGAATTTATATAAATAAGATGAAAGAATTTGCAAAGAATATGTTGTTTTGAAATGATCAGTTAATTTATTTTAGGTTTTCTACAGGTTCTTAGACGTTGTGGCTAGAATGTAGAAATATTTTACAAATACACTAAACTCTAATTCTAACCCTGAACACTACCTATAACTTCAATAATAGGTCTAAGCCTTACTCATATCTAATGTATACTAAACTCTAAATCCTAATCTCAACATAAGACCTAACTTCTACAGGCAAATAGGACGAAATGCGCGTTAAACTGGATTCCACTGTTAGTCACTATCCATCTTTGATTAACGGTATTAGTTGTATAATACTTTTCATATTAATATTACACTGTAATCACGTAACAGTTGCATTGACTTAATTGATTGAACGATGAACATTTCAAAAAACTTATTCAATGCTTTAAACATTCTTAGGGATTCGATTTGCAACACTATCGAACTGTTGAGATTTAAGTACGGAGATTTATGTTTGAACCTACAATCTAACTACGTTTTTTGAAAATAGAGATGGACTATGACTAGCAATGATGTCCATGAAGTGCATGTTTCAACTGATTCGAGATTTATAAATTGGATATTAATATATACAACAAAGTCAGAATCTTCAATACGAACGTCAAGACAGTTCTACTGTACGAAGCTGAAAGTTAGAGAACTACAACAACCATCATCAAGAAGGTACAATTATTGATATATAAGTGTCTTCGCAAGATACTCAACATCCATTGACCGGATACCATCAGCAACAGCCTACTGTGAGAGAGAACAAACCAGCTTCCAGTTAAGGAGGAAATTAGGAAAAGACAATGGAAATGGATAGGACATACATTACTGAAATTATCAAACTGCATCACGAGACAAGCCCTAACTTGGAATCCTGAAGGGAAGTGAAAAAGAGGAAGGCCAAAGAACACATTACGTCGGGAAATAAAAGCAGATATGAAAAGGATAAGTAGAAACTGGAAAAAAGTGGAAAGTATTGTCCAAGACATGGTTGAATGTCGAGTGCTGGTAGGCGGCCTTTGTTCCTCCACGAAGGGTAACAGGCGTAAGTAAGTATATATCAATAGAGACTGATCAACTCCAGACATTTCAACGTAATTGAAAAAAGATTCGAATGATTTACCATTAAATAATCATTTCATTCTATTTCAAGCTTTAATGTATTACAATGAAAACTCAATAAAACCATCAACCTATCAATAGTGAATATATGGATATATACTAAAAAAAAGCCTTTTATCTCATTGATTAGACTATTATTATTATTATTATTATTATTATTATTATTATTATTATTATTATTATTATTATTATAAGAATGAGAAAATATCATATTCTATTATCATTTATCTATAATGAAGGTTCTAAACAACTGTCAATATTAACCAACATAATAAACCTGAATTAAATCTATTCAACTTTGCTGAAAAACAAAAACAAAACAAAACAAAGCAAAGAAATGTTGAAATAAAAGTTAAATTATAAATTGTATAATCCTATAAAATAACTTAGTTGCCATGGGACACAATGGAATCAACTACATATAGATTCTACTTTAAGGCATTTTTTTCCTTAAAAAAAATCAGCAAAACCGAGTGAATTACTGAATATTCGCAATGATAATTAATTTTCTAGTAATAATAATAATAATAATAATAATAATAATAACAGTAGTAGTAGTAGTAGTAGTGTGGTGTGCGCTACTTATATTGACATAAGTAGTAGATGCTGTTAGTTGTGAACAGAATGTCTGGCAGCAGAGAGACAAGAGGATCGAACAGTAAAGAATAGAAACAGAATGCAATTTGTATGAAAATGTATGAACAATGAAGTCTGAATCATTTTGAGATTATTGATGAACATTTTACAAATTAAGCATTTACTTTATGATTGTTAGATTTCACTAACGACTCCTGTAATGTTGTGTCAAATACATTCGATTGTTCCTACTGGTATTCTATTCACTACAGTAGTAGTAAATCAGTAGTATGAATAGATAACAACGAAAAAATAAGAGAACCGTACTTAGAGTAATATTACGTGTTTCTAGTAAATAATAGACAGAATTTAACTATAAAAAAGAAGAAAAAGCATATAACTATCTCTATTGTGTTTGTTAAATTGAATCCGATCAAAGAAACAAAGTCTTTTTATTTATAAATAACAATAATCATCAATTATAATGAGTAAACATTATGATTATTGATAAAGAAACAATATTGAAACTCATTCAAGGCGATCAAAGTACCAAGTAACACATTTACGAGTATGATCACAATAAACATAAATCAAAATGAAGAAGAAATTTAGAATAGAATAGATAAACGGAAAACAAGAAATAATGAGAAATGGGAAGATTATAGTAGATGTGTCAGATATATACACGTACACATACAGTTGACTTTACTCTACTGTAACTAGCATTCCCAACCTATCTAATGATATATATATATAATGTACCGTCATGGGCCAGGCTAGTTTTACATTGGTTTTCAGGAGAATCAGACACCATCCAGACTTTCATGTGACAACCCAAACAGTACAGCTCAATCCCTTTCAATAGGAGAGCCAGACACCGCTCAGGCTTAAATTTTATAACCCAAGAAGTACAGTTCAATCCCTCTTTACTGGAGAACCAGAAACCGTATAAACTTTAACGCTAAAATTTGAATAATATAGCTCAATCCTGTGGTGCAACCACACAGGTATCAAGCACTCCGGTGGACTAATATATATTACCAATCCATAAAAATTGTATTTGGATAATGTATATTGTTATGACTTTATGTAGGGCTTTTTCTCACCTGATTTATCCACCAATCAAAATACGACTTATACAATCTTAGCAGTGTGTCAGAACCAATGAAGTTCGACCGGTTTGGGCAGCCTAGCGTCCTTATTGGCCGTATGTCCGCCTAGCCCGTCCACTTGAGTCCAGAACACCAATACCAACTTCCACTATGTGAATCGAATCGAATCATTTATTTCAGACATACTGGGTTTATATATCAATCAGACAGACGGCAACGCACCATAAAATAGGAAATAACATTTGTACACAAAAAAGCCAAAAGGTGACTGTGAAGATGGGAGGCAGTAGCCAATAAACTGAACATAACTGAAGAACCGTAAATCGTACAATAATAATCGATAGGTCAAAATGAAGCTTATAATAAGTGGAATATAGATATACATAATCTAATGATTGAATAGTTATATCATAAGAATGTATAGATAATATTAGTCCATTAATAGGTCTCAGCAGAAGTTACTCATGATTAAATCTTCACTCGGACATAATATACATATATATTATAGAAGATAATTCAATATGTTAAAATGATAATGTAACCGAGTAAACCAAATATAGTTTTATTATATATTTGATTCATTGAATAATATTGTTTTATGCCAAGACTAATTATAATCATTATCTTTTGAATAGAAATCAATAAAAAGAATGTTAAAAAAAAGAGTTGAAATAGAATATCTAATTAATAATAATTAACTATCATTGTAATTATTATTATTATTTATTAATTAATTGAATAAAAATTAATAAATAAACTAGTTTATAGACAAGATTTATTTTATATATACGTGTATTGATGATTTATTTGGAATTATTAGACAAGTCTTATAATAAGATGAAATGATCATTCAATTACTTTCAAATTTACGTTACGTATACCTGAACACCGATTACCAAGAGATGCAATGCTAACCGACGTTGGAGATGATCAGAAGAAATGAAACGGCGATCAAACCAAAACGTGGTATCAGTCCACACAGTCACTAACTTCTAGTGTGAGCTATGTTGGTAGATGCAGACTACTTGGTTGGTGTCCCCGTGACTATTGTAACCAACGATTGGAGACTCTGGGTGACATGTCACAGAATCGATCACAATGGTGTAGGTGTATACACTCACTGTCTTCCCTTAAACTCTGAGATTAAAATCACTTCTTTTTTTTCCTACGAACTGATTCTTTCTTTGTGTACTATGTCTTTGTAAACAATCTTTCTTTAATATATTACCACCATTGACTTAACCACTCCTATGAATCCGGTGTTCATCTTGTTGTTCTAATGAGGTATGGCAACTTGGACCGATGCATATATGTGCTTGGTCGTACTTTGTAGCTGACTGACTGACTTTCAAACTTACCATAGTCATCTAACTTATCATTTTAACGATTAAAATAAAATGACTATCATATCTACAAAACACCGCCTTCTGATTCACTTGGTATTATCTGGCTTGTATTTTCCCATTGAGGTTTAAGACTGCAATTGATCAGTCTGTTATTGGCATATATACATACTGTGGGTATGCCTCGATATTACCCTAATTTACAAGCCTTTTGTAAGCAATAATGGATAGTGGCTAGCAGTGGAATGCAGTTCGACACGCATTTCGTCCTATTTGACACTCGTCAGTTGGATGTACCTGCATCTCAGAGTTGATGTTCACTCTGGGACTCAAATCCAATACCATTCACTTCAATCCCCTTCTGATATTACAATAAAATTTAATAAAGTCACATATAGAAATACTTAGATACAAAATGTCACAATCACTTTCTATTGAAAAATCTGAATTGAATATAAACAAAATTGACAGGAAAAAAAAACAATCGAATTGAATTTTCAAAAACAAAAAATAAAAAAATAAAAAAATAATAATAAAAATCATGAATGGTAAATACGAAGTCATTTTGGACATAAAACAATCCATTTTTTTTTCTATTATTTTCATACATTGATTGGTATTTCACCATTGAACAATATGCAGATATTAAGAAATAGTGGAAAAATTATTTTTTTTTTTAAAAAAAAAAACAGTCATGTACATTTATCCATTATTATACATGACAAGATAATCTACAAAATGTATAAAAAATATTTTATTTTGACTTACATTCTGGACAATTATTGAAATAAAGAGAGAAAGGGGGGAAAGGTTTCCCGCCCGCCCCCTCTTCGAATAAATTTGTTTTAGTTAAACATATGATTATTACTGTAGAATTTTTTTAGATTACGCTTAGTGGTTTAAATTTGATTTCATTGATTAGATAACATTTTAAAAAAAAATTTATATCAGAAGGGGTGGATATTATTAGTAATTTCAATAGTTGAAATCATGATTCAATTGAAGCTAGACCATCATGGAAAACCTGGAAGCACTGAATGAATGTTTCGTTCTATTTTACGATTCCTAAACAGTGTGCATGCATGATCCCATCTCACAAGATTCGAATCCAAGACCTATCGGTCTCGTGCGCGAGTGTATAACCTCTAGACTACTGAGTCAGCATCCAACGGTGTTAATATCTAATTTGAACCAATTCAGCAAATTTGCGCAACCATCTTTTATTGTATGAGGTAGATACCTGTCTCTGCCTGAATATCACCAGAAAAATCTTTGAACTATAACTTTAAAAACTTATTATTAAGTGGAAATATAGTTATCGTTTACTGACCGACCAACATGCAATCAAAATTAAAAAAATGACTGAATGATTTGCGTTAATTGATCTGAAAAAACAACCGTATAATTTAATTAACAGAATTATTCAGTCTAATTAGTAGTATAAATAAAAATTTGAAATAATGAAACTTTTATATCATCGTCAAACAGTTTTTAAACTGCAATTTTATTGAATAAGTTGCCTCTTATCAACTGTATAACAATGAGTAGTATCGTCAGCTTCATTTGGATACATAAATATATACATATGAGTGTTTAAAATGATATAACAATGTGATCTATAGTTTCACAATTTCATTGACAACAAGTGATTAACCAATATTGTGATTAGATTTAAATTATATATTACTCATTATGAACTACTATGTGTTCTATCAGCTTACAAAGATAACCTGATCGATAAACAGAAAAAAAGTAGAAATGAAACCAAATCTTATTATTCCTACCATACTTCTTTCTAAACACGATGTAGCACATAAACGACTACTTAGAAATAATATGGATAAAGTTAAAGAGTGTAGAAAAATATAATCACTAAACATTATTCTCAGCATATGGCTTTGTAGAGACTATTGAATTTTCATAGTTCTTAAATCATGAAACGATCTTAGCTAGACCATTATTGAACACCTAAAAGTAATGGACTATTGTTTCTTAGTACGAGACTCATCAGCAATGCTCATCGGCAAACCTACACCGAGCAATCGAACCCAGAACCTCCGATATCGCACCCAAACACTTAAACTTTAAACCACTAGTTAGTATCTAACTTCATGACATTCATGATATTGTGCGATCAACTATGTCAGCTATTAGAGATTTATCCAGTGAAGGCAATGGACGATGGTCACACAATATCGTGAATTTTATTCATTTAAAAGGTAAGAAAGCTTCACAAAAAAACAACACCCTAATTTCATCACGTTCACCTTATAAATAGACGCTTGCAAATAAACAATAGAAACTATGGTTAGACCCAGAAATATCTCCAGTCAGTTCTTATAATTCATTGAGTAATAAATGCACTCATGATCTATGGAGAAGTATTAAGAGTGTTGTAAAAATAAATATAAAATTAATTTAAATAAATCCACGACTTCATTTACAACAATTATTGCATCGAAAGAAACTAATTCAGCACCAAGTTACATGTAGATCCAACTGAAAAGGCCTGAATAGAAATAAATATGCATTTTGGATTCCTCTACTAGCTACAATCAGTCTTTTCTAAACAACTTATAACTAGTAAAAGGAAGACCCACCTCATCTATCCCATAAACATCAACAGATCCAGGTGGAGACAACTATTGTAGCAGCAGCCTCTACATCAATAGGCCTAAGTATACACAAGGGAAAAATCGACATCCTCAAATACAGCACAGAAAACACCAACTCAATCATACTTGATGGAGAATCTGTGGAAGAGGTGGAAACTTTCACGTATCTGGGTAGCATCGTCTATGAGCGTGGAGGATCCGATGCAGACGTAAAGTCAAGGATTAACAAAGTAAGGGTAGCATTCCTACTATTTGAGAACATATGGAACTCAAAACAACTGTCAACCAACATCAAAGTAACAATCTTCAATATAAGAGTCAAGTCAGTTAGTTCTAATATACGGAGTTGAAACTTGGAGAAATACTACAACTATCATTAGAAAGGTACAAGTATTTCTGAACAATTATTTACACAAGATACTCAATTTCAGTTCGCCAGATACTATCAACAACAGCCTACTGTGGAAACGAACAGATCGACTTCCAGTTGAGGAGGAAATTAGAAAAAGATGCTGGAGGTGGATGGAACGTCCATTGAAGAAACCACTAAACTGGATCACGAGACATTGTAACTTGGAATCTTGAAAGGAAAAGGAAAAAAGGAAGATTTAAAAACATATTGAATCGAAAATTGGAGGCAGACATCGAAAGGAAGAATAGAAATTGGAAACAACTGGAAAGGAGAGCGAAGGACAGGATTAGTTGTAGAATCCTAGTGGGCAGTCTATGCTGCTCTATGAGTCGTGACAGGCGTAAGGAAGTTAGTAGAAAGAGAAAATATTAAGGAACTCACATATCCCAACTGAGAGCAACCGAAATTCACGCCTTAATATTAATAATGATAAAATATAAATCCTTATAAAGTGTAAAAATTTTTATTTAACAGATAAAATACCTAGCATGTGCACAAATCCATTGATCTATAATTGCTGAACCACCTGGGCCATAAGATATCCACTCGGATTCAGTTGGCTCAAAATGAAATACTTGAAGTGGATAAAGTAAACTCTTCAGATTTTCTAGTTCTAGATATGGAATAAATGTAATAGAAAATAAAATGATGGTTCAAAAATATACTACTTCTATTACATAATATCAGTAGTTTTGAAGTATCACACAATAACACATTCAACATATTATAACTTGAAATTAATAAACGTTTTCAAACCAAGTAGACTTTATATTTTCAATGGTCAAATTTCTCCAAGTTATTTCAATCTGATCAAGTTATTACTTATGGAACTTGACTCCTTTAAGCTGAGGGTGTTTGGCAAGCCTCTGTGCTTGATCATCTTTATCTTGCAGCATACAAAACGTGATAAATCCATGTGAGTAACTGTGACCCTCTCAGGAGGAGAGAAATGCAAATCTTAAACAACATGATTGCATAAACGATACCCTACTTAGGCTCCTTCTAAATAGGATTATTTGAAAGTATCAACCAATATCTTAGTGTTGGTATACCGATGAAATATATAACAATTACTGATAGTGTGGGTCTCCGCTACACATTGGTTTAGGTGTAAAAGATTTGCTGCAACAAGATTTTCTCAACTTACCTAAAGTGAACGTTTCTATATGCGATATACAAAAGTAGTATAAACCAGTAAATTGACTTTCCTAATTAAGAATTATATTCTATATACAACTAACTGATCATTAATTTTGTTTAATCAAATATAGCTGTGCAGTTATTTTATGATTTTTTTAAAACTGTGATATTTAGGACAAAGTAAATGGAACTCAAAATATCTGTCAATCAACATCAAAGTCAGGATTTTTCAACACTAACATTAAGACAGTTCTATTGTACGGGGTTAGACTTGGAGAACTATTATAACCATAATCAAAAAGGTACACGCATTTATAAAAGTTGTTCACATAAGATACTCAAGATCCTTAACCAGATATAAAAAACAACCTAAAGTATCAGAGAACAAACCAGCTTCCAGCTGATGAGGAAATTAGGAAAAGATGCTGGAGGTAGATAGGATACAGATTGCCGAAACGACCAAACTGTATCATCAGGCTATCCCTAACTTGGATTTTCCAATGCAGGAGGGAAAGAGGCAAACCAAACAACACATTCCATCGGGAATCAGAGGCAGACATAGAGGGAACGAATAGAAATTGGAATAAAAACTGGAAAAGAGAGTGGAGGACAGAATAAGTTGGAGAATGCTGGTGGGCAGCCTACGCTCCACCACGAAAGGTAACAAGCGTAAGCAATTAAATAAATAAAATATGCCCATTGAGATTGATTCAGAGAAGGGTTCTCCTTTATCCAAATTCATTTTCAAAGTTATACAATTCAAGATCTATACATATTTTCCAAAGTGCTAATCTAATGTCATCACATCTTTCCTCTTATCTCTTCTCATTATTGATCTTTTACCTCGAACCAACTTATTTCTGTTTCCATGCTGTTTCTGATTACAGTTCATCTGAAATTCAACATTTCATATTGTCACATGATCTAAGCCTTCTTTTATAATTATTAATCTATTAACATTAGCTTGGTAAATATTTAAGCTCATTACAACCTACATTTTCAGTTTCTTAATAAAGATATTCATATAAACTCTCTGTTATCATTGTTAAGCAAATCTATTATTATCATCATTAACAGACATAATGGTGATCTAACGATGTTCGGTTCAGGATTTCAATGAAACTTAACAATCTCTAAAACCCTGTACTGATAGACCAATTATTAATTACTATATTGATAAATAAATTATATACTTACGATTGTACAGCTTTAAATGAATTCACTGAAAAGAGAACTCTTCACACAACAGTCAACAAAAATGACTTGATTACACAAAGTGTTACCACACACACATATGTATACGCGTTATGGTGAAGTGATATAAACAAAAAACACAAGTTGATTTTGCATTGTTAATAGATGGAGGCTTCATTTTTGGTATGTTACTACTATTATGACCACCTCTAACGGAATAGAATGAAGATATAAATAAATATTCTTCACTACTGTCCATATAAGTTGTTTTTTAAATACTAACCTTCTTTATTAGCATCGGTGGCTAGATAAATTGTATCGATGTAATGATTTTCATACTGATTAAATATCTTGACAGCATTTAGAATTTGTTGGGCTGCTAAAACATTATTAGGAGATCGACTAGTAGTAGTAACAGTTGTTGTTGTAGCGTTAGTACTTGTAGTAACAAAATCTCCACAACGCCAATGAACCGCTACATATGGTCCACCTAGAGCTGGTGAAAGTGGCCATTGTGGACGTAGCCAACTGGAACCTGGACCAAGATGTTCAACTATTGACGGTGATACTGTACGATCTGAAATATCATTAGAATGTAAATAAGCTCCACGGTAATTATCACCAATATCACGTAAATGTTTTGCTATTGTAATGCTTCGACGTACCTAAATGTCAAATTTGTAATGTACAACAACAGAGAAATGATAGCATAACAGTATAAAGAAGATATTGAAAAATGACCAAATGTTATTAAACATACTACAATTCATATTATTCGAAATACTTGCAAATAACCAAATAAAATTTATTAGAAATGTGTAACTTATAATTGACTAGTTAATCGAATATGACGTTTGAATTCGATTGATCGCCGAGCATTGACTATGTCATGTTCATCAAGTCTCTAGTGTTGATCTTATTCTATCAATTAAGTTGCAATATGGCCACATTACTTGAACTATGTTTTGTTGTTAGGTGGTTATAGGTAGTTAGCAGGAAGTCCTGGACCTACGCTTCATGCTAGATGACAATCGTCAGCAAGGAATACCTGCGACCTCGAGAAGAATGATAATTTCTGATGGTTTAGAGCTTATGTCACTCAACTCCGCCTCCTGAGATGATATCAATGAAGTAAACAACTGTAAATATATGACCCACAAGAGTTTGATCGCGGCACAAATGGCTCAGTAGTAACGAGTCAAAGTGTGAAACTGAATGATTCGGGTTCGCAGCTTATAAGGAGCATCAGTCACCTCAATGTTAAAGATATGTTTTTCTAATGAAAACTTGGTTCAAGGGTTCCTGCCGATTGTTTCCAACAACTTAATGAATACATCATTTGAAAGGCAAGTCTACTAACGATCAAACTTTGCATTTAGTTTTTAGGTTTTATAATGGGTTGCTCAAGACCAGACAGATATCAAATATACAACGCACATTTGATTTTTAGAAAACATACAAGTATCACTTGCTTTACTACAGAACTAAATGCATTAAGGATGCACAAAAGCACTAAGGCAATGTTATTTCACCAGCAGAAGCTGTGTAACGCATTCGAAATCTTACTGTTATCGAATTAGCTAGTTTCAATTTCCAAATTGCCTTGATTTGACGCTCGTACATACCTAATGGACATAATTTATTTTCATTTTTTAGTGAAAGTACATTCTACATGTGTATTTACTGATTTGTTAACCCATGTTCTCTCTTGTACTTCTTTATCTTATAGATCCACACACACATAACTTATTTCTGGGGTGCACGTAAATCTACCAACTGGTATACATTACAAATCACATCCTAACTTCTTTGAAAGCGAACAGCAATTCAATTTAACTGCTCCAGTTTTCAATGAATGAAATCCGGTTAGTGTTGTAAGCTGTTTTCCATAGCAGAAACAGGATAATTATCACATCAATCCATCTACTCTTTAAAGATTCCACACTTTCTAAGTATGTTCAATTAACCGAAATATATTATCTTTGCTGAGTTAGTCTATGATAAACTCTTTTGAGAGAAAACCAACTTTCCAACAGATAGAAAAGAAATATTGCCTTTAGAATTATATTAATAACGAGAACTACTTTACATAGCCACTTCAAGTAAGCTCTAACCCAACCATACGTATGCGAATAAATAGCCTCACGTGTATTAAGGTGTTTGTTTGATAGACTTTCAGGTCGGAGAATACTATTAGCGTATGTGTTCCGAATTTGACAGATAATAGATACAGTGTTGAGACTGAAACTTGTTTAGCTCTCCCATATTCACAGAATTCAACCTCAACTTAAATGTCACTTGATTTATTGAAGATAGAATGTTAGAAATTATGTTGATCAAACAAACTCCTTAACTACTACACATGAAAATGCCTATCTCTTTTTAAATAAGCTAAAATACATATAAGTACCGGATAGATATTTCATTCTAATTCCAAAACTTCTATGTAGTATCTACCCATAACCCTACAAGAGATTCAATTGCACCAATAAGTAAAATGAATTCGGATTTTGTTAAGTGAGGATGAATATTTAGGAGATATGGAACTCTTAAAACTGTTCTACAAAAAATCAATATATTCACTTTCATTGTGTTTTTATTAGATTCTTGTCCTATAGTCTCTAAAAGTATTCATTACATCCACCTAAGACCAACAATCAATAACGTTATGAACTGATAATATGTTTAAATCTGATTCATTTTAATATAATTCTAAAATATGAACTTATTTTTCGATCACCTTAACTGACTGATTCACATTAACCATAATGATCTATACATAGAAATAATAGAAAGAAAACTTACAGTCCAATATTCTTGACTCCATTCACTCCAATGACCGTGTATAATCGACTGAGCTGAGTCTAAGTATAAAGTTCTGTAAACACGGTAAAAATATACGCACATATTCATATTGAAATTAAAAAAGTCCTGATACTATACACTATGACGAACTTATATAACAATCTACCATTGGATGATTGTCGCGTTATCTATAAAACTAATCAAAGTTGGAAATGTGTATCACAGGTTTCTGATATATTGTGGTTTGGGTGATTAAATGCTTTTCACGAGACCTTAAAGTTTTGCTTTCAATTCTTTTCATCAATCCACTGCTGATGAGTCCCGTAACGGGACGAAACACCCGTTTAGTATCATCTGGTTTTCGATGCTAAGCCCTAATTGAGATAAATCTGTAACAAGTACAACCTATAAATAAAATCAATCCGCAAAATTTCCTTCCATTAAATTATAAAAAACCTCCTTTACTCATCAAATCATAAGTAATAACAAATATCCTGTCACTGGTTGAAATCATGAGTTAGTTGAACTTAGACCACCATGGAAAACCTGGAAGTACTGGACGGCCGTTTCGTCCTAGTATGGGACTCCTCAGTAGTGCGCATCCACGATCCTGCCCCCCGTGAGATTCGAACCCAGGACCTATCAGTCTCGCGCCAGGCGCTTAACCAGCTAGACCGCTGAGTCGGCATCCAGGTTTTCCATGGTAGTCTAGCTTCAATTGACTCATGATTTCAACCAGTGAAATTTCTAAAAATCTCCACAAAGCCCATTCTGATATAAATATCCTGTCAATTGAGTACATTATTACAAATAAAATAAAATAAATCACTACAATCAACTAACTGTTGTAATATAAACCAATTTATTTGGGTAAACGACAGAAATTTGATTGAAATACATTGATAAAAAATATATATATAGCTGGATAACAAAAACTTACGTAATAGGCTTTTCAGAATTTTCAATTAATTGAATTAAGAATGGTGCTAAATGAACAGGTTCTAAATCTCCAGTGATACAATCATATGCAGATGCTTTCATTGGTAATATACCATTTTGTAAATTAAAACTACTTCCTTCAAATAATTCTATTGGCCGACTGAATGACGATGATGAGTCCTACATAAGAATTGAATTAATGAATAGTTTTAGTATAGCAGTTCAAAAACACAATACAATATTTGATTTGATAGGCATACATATATATGCTTTAAAATGTGAATAAATTTAACAGATTATATGTTCTAACGATCCTTATTTGATGATTTTCATAGTATGATAGTGAATAATCATTTAATCTTACATGTCGGGAGTAAAACAGCTATCAACAACATCCCTGGATGATTGTTATGCTACATAACAAACTGACTAAAGTCAGAGCCATACTGTCAGATGATGATTCAGTAGCTGGGTCACTGCGTCACTGTGAGACGTGTCAATTTTAACCGAAATACATTTTCACCAGGTCCTACTATGCTGCATATGACTGACTAATTAATAAAAGTTGGTTAGAACAATAACTGAATATTTTTTAGAAGCAAAACAAAGGGAAAACGCTGAGTTTATCCACGACGTTTTCAATTTTAAATAAATCCGTTGTATTTAGTACCTTCATTTAACTTTTCGTTTATTTGGTAAGTGAAAACGTAGTTTTCATTAAAAATTCTATTCCAACTATCTGGGATTATCAGCAACATGTCAATAGAACATAGCTTAATATGCCTGATGAAAAACATATACGTAATGAACATTAGGGATTGAGACAAAATATCTAACGGAAGTCATAATCTAATATCTAACCCTCATTCACTTGCTAAATGAACGAGAAAATGACCGGAAGAGTTGTATACGTTAATAACGATGTGGATAACATGAGACGAGAACATTAAAATGAACATAAGATGGTTGGTTAATCATCGACTTACATTTAATCGATATAATTCGCGTAATTCAAATGGACAAAAATCTACTTTACGATTATTAACATTTGAATATTGCCCCAATTTTTCATTAAAATCTCCACGAACTAACTGAAGAGCTAAATCGATTGTCAACGGATGGTTGGATGACCTGTTTAATAATGATTGTTGTGAATCCAATACTAAATTTATGAAAACGAATTTTAAGAATGCAGTTTTTTTGGAAAATAATAATAATGTCATCTAATTTTTCATATAAAAAGTACTGAATGTCCGAAATTACGTGCGAAAATCAATGTAATCACTTCCTAAGTTCAAACATTGTCTATTGACTGACTGTACGCAATCAATCAACCAACATGTTATTAGGGGAGATTTGAGGAGAATGTAGAACTTTGACAATTTTAAATCATAAACTGATCTTACCTAGACCACCATTGGAAATCAAGAAGCAATAGGTGGCTGTCTCGTCCTAGTATGAGATTCATCAACAGCCGACATCCTGCACTCCACACGCGGGGGTCGAAACTAAGACCTTCAGTCTCGTGCACGAACCCTTAACCTCTAGACCACTGAGCCGGCTTCTAACAGTGTTAGTGTCTAACCTTAACCAATTCACTATATGATAATATTGTATACGTTAAGTAGGCTTACCCACAGCCAACATCGGTCAAAATGTGACATCAATCAATGAAGTCATGTTGATAGATGTTGACAACCTAAGTGGGGTGAGTGTGATAAGCACGATCAGTGACTTGAGACACGATTCAGAATTGATCAATGTAGCATAAACACGTTTAGTCTTTTTTTACTCTTGGCCTTCCGTTCTAGTGTAGCGGGCGCTACTCATAAGATTGTTTGTAAGTTATTATGTGGCGGAACGTGGTGTCTTAGTTGTAACAGTCGTCAGACGGAGAGAAGATCAGTACAGCAACAGCACGGTGTAGACAGAACACTTGGAGAACAGACGAGAAGACGGTTCAGGTTGCAGATGTAGGGCCAGTGATGTAAATGAATGATTGAAGGCTATGTACATGTATTATGTACATGCATCGTAACTTCTTGCAATAAGCGCAGATTCTTTCCCTTATTGCCATCTTTTACATCAATACTCCTTCATACATACCATAAAACTCTGTTATTTAGAACTACTTTCCCAATCTTGATCCGTTCACATTATCGTTGCTACTACACTATTTTGACTGCTTTTGTCATTAGACTTCTTGATTTCATCTCGTCGTGTTGTTGTGGTGTGGAAAGGCTGAAAGTAACTGACTGACTGACTGAAATAATTATTAATATCAAATAAAGTTAATAATGTTTACGATTTATTATAAGTGCCGAGGTTGAACTTAACCAGCAATGTAAGTATATAATTGTGAGATGAACACAAAACTGAAATTTATTTTCTACAAGTTACAGTTCATTCTTTATAAATGTAATAACCTTCATTCTTCTTATTGTTACAACAGAAAAAAGTAAAGAATCATCGATTAATTCAGGATTTTCATTTTCCATTAGAAACTAAACATGTATCTGATAATTCATAGTACCTCGGTTGGATATTTCTATATACAAATGACAAGTTTAATTCTCTTATACATATTCAAATATTTAATCTGTTGTCTATGATTTCCATCTCGTAAACTCTAATTGGTTGAAATTTAGTAATTAACTGCTTAGAAGAAAACATCGCTTCAGTTTATCAATCATTTTAGCATCATCATAACACCTAGATTATAAAATAACTTTTCATCTAACACACTTTATCCTATCTTGGTAAGGAAAGCGCAGTTAGTCACATTAGTCTTCATACACATAAAATCTCCTGTTCAAAATTGGGTGTATAATACCCTTACTTGGTAAATAAACCGCATATTATTATTTAATTATTTATGCATAAAAATGCATTTCTTAGAAATTGAAATCACAATCACTTACCGTTACTGCGTTGAAATTCAATTAAATCCATAACTGGTATAAATAATGAGAGACTGTTTAAATCAAAAAACATTGACCATGGAATGCCTGACCAATTATTAAAATAACTATGATTTGTATATCTTTCATATGATCTGTCATTGAACCAATGAGGAAGTGGACCCCAAGGCGGTAAAACTAGAATCCAATCTTCACCAGTTAAATTTTTTACGTTTATGTCGTGTAGAGCAAAATTTGGTATTTGGCTTGGGTCTCTTAAAAGACTGTAAAAAATTCGTGATAATATAAATAAACTGAAAAACACAAATAAATGGGAAATTTCAAACTAAGATTTCCGCTAGCGATTAGAATGTGTGCAAAATTGTCACTTTCATTCATTCATAAAGTCAATTAGTTGTAAGTAGTGTGGTACCTGACAGATTTCAAGCTGTCACATCACATAAGCATATAAAGAAGAAATTATCAAGGCGAATTTCATGAACTGATGCCACTTTTTAGTTTGGCTAACCCTAGCGCTCTTTGACTCGACACGTACACCAGCAGATATCGCGTATAAAGAAGAAACTTTGTTGATCATACATAATACATAGCTCGGCCAACTCAATAGATAAGGATTCACTAACTCATCAACTGGTTTGCCATTGTTACTCAGCACCCTGCTTCGAACTTCAGAAAGATCCACTCGGTAGTTCCATTTCAATACAAACTAATGTCAACTTATGTCCAATAATCATTGTCATTTCATTTTAATGCCCTGGTACGGCCGAGAGTGAGGAGGGCATGCCTATCCTCTCGAAATGCTATCACATGGCCACGCATATACAGCCTCTGACAGGGAAGTCCTACTCACTGCTTTCTCGTGGCGGGGGTGTTATTTACGATATTGAGAGGACGAATAGCGAATGTCCGGCGCCTTAACCGGGTTGGTGGACATGGAGAGTCCATCCAGGGGAGTTGGAAAACCCTTATCCTAAACTACTGGTGCACATGGGTTCCAGGATCTTTAAGGAACAAATGGCGATCGAACCAAATGTTGGCCACTGGCTACTATGGGACTGCATCTCCTCATGATGCTCCACTGCCATGTGGGTCAGACCTTTAGGTCAAAGGCCCGAGGTGTGGACCCCTACGAAAACCACCTGCTTTGGTCTAGGTACCTGAGCAGTATGATAGCCCTCACACAGTCAAAATGAAATGACTAATGTCAACTAAAAAAACACTATACTTGGACCAATAATTGAAAGCTTCTATCTATGCAAGAGATACTTAGACGACACTTTCATTATTTGTGAGAAAAATGTCAATGTCAAAGACATTCTGGACGCGTTCAATGACTGTCATAAATCAATTAAGTTCACGATGAAATCAGAGTCGAACTCAGAATTTTACTCCTTAGATGTTTCGGTAAAAATGAGACGTGACGGTTACCTACAAAGAATGACATATAGAAAGCCGACATGGAATGGTTAATACACGAATTTTCAAAGCTAATTCTCACTGAAGCAAAAGAGAAACCTGATCCATTCTCTCTGTTCAAGGATGAGACGCATCCGCACCGAGGATACAATCGATACCAAAATTGGTACACTAAGGCAGACACTGGTCAACAATGGATATTCACCTAGATTCATCGAAAAAAGTCTGAAGCCAAAACAACGATGTGAAAGAGTTTTCACAGCATCAAAGAAGACTTTCTTCATGAACAGTTAGTTTGAAGAAGATACTGCGGCAAAAATACTGAAAAACAGACATTCAAGATCTCCAAAAAACGTTCTATTCGGTTGAACTTCTCATTACCTTTCCTAATCGGCGTGTGATCCGAGGTTGTGTGAAGGGTAAGCTCCTATGAATTTATAGAGACAGAACTCAAGAAAATAAATTTCGTACACGCTATTTTCTCTTAGAAAGTCAAAGTAACCAAGAACAAGTCGCTCCTTCAGATAATAAATAACGTTATACGAAGTTGACGCAAGTCTATAAAGCACAAGAAACGAGTCAAATATCCGTTATGATAATTAGTGTAAACTTCGAATTGGAAGTTTACTGGGTGAAGCATCAACAGATCCTATGTTTAAACCCCATTCCCTCTTTTTATTGCTCTGGGCAGTTAAGAAGTACTACCAAACCTTACAGCCGCCCACAAAGCTGGGTAAATAAACTAGTATTTTGTACATTAGTTCCGTCATGAACCTTAAATAAAACACGTCATACTGAATTTTCGAATCATAGTTCAGTTTCCACCACTGTTCCTTAATTGCTTTTTTGATCTCCCAAGTTAACATGTTCAATGTATGATAATGAAAACAATGCAAATAACTAATACACATTAGGCACTGTGAATAAATTATCTTCATACTACTGAGTTACTCTAAAAGCAACTAATAGGATGAAATACCACTGCATTAGTAAACTAACAAACACTCAGACATTTAATTCCCTATCCAAACACTGAGTGGAAATAAAACAGCTTTCTGAAGCCGAAACTTCCATTAGAGAATCCTTACTTACATTTGTGTTGTCCTAAATCAATAAATACACTCGCAATTTACGTCACGATAAACAGAGACAAAATATAACGGATAAGTAAACAAACTAATATCAAAGTTTAACAACCTATAGTCATTTTTGCGAGAAATTAAAAAAGAAAGTTATTTGAACACAAAAATTAAATTTGTTCTGTAAAATATTTTGAATTATGTAATCTCACTAGTGACAATAATTACATCACTATCTGAAACGACAGCTTAATCGTCGGACAACTGAACCTTGAACAACCGAGTTAAGAGTTCAAACCCAGCCTTGTCTAATTGCATTTAGGCATGTGGACACTATTATTTACACCTATTGCGAAACGATGTATAGTTTAAAGCGAGGTGCAAAATTCCGTACTTATTAAATATATTGCGTTGTTATTTTATGTATTTTGTATTTTAAAAAATCACACCTACCGTACTGTATTGGCAATCCGAATATAAACATCACGTTTCAAATTGAAACCTTCTCCATAAAACACATCATAAAATAAATATCTGAAAAAGTGATTGATGCAAACGTGCTCTAAAATGGATTATTTGATACCTTTTGCCGTAAATGCAAACTCTTGGCATACATGCCAAAATTAATAGGATAATACAGAATAAATTCATTTTGTTGTAATACTTTAGGAAGACTTGTAGCCGATTGAAAGTTATTATCTACAGAAAAAAAATTAAAAAACAAACCACCGAAATTTTTAAGACGTCATCATAATTAAACATGAAACGCCACATATCAGTATACTAAAGTTACCTTATAAAACATCATACACCTAACTTGTTGTTGTAACAATCAAGAATGTCTCCTGTAAAAAAACTAGTTTTTGAAGTCACAAGACAAATTCAAATTAGAAACCACTAGTTTTTCAGTGTTATCTGTAATCAACCCGATTTATTATATGCTGGTAATAAACTAGGCTGTATTCGATCCCAATGGTTTCACTTTGGATGATAAAACGGCACAGAAACCAAAGAGATTACAGTAGATACTGAAGTAAACAAGGTTATGTATAAAAAGGAGATAAGTGAATTTGCCAAAATCCAGTGTGAGGTGTGAATAAAAGTGAAAACTAGAAGTACCTGTTGTTTCTAGATTAATTTTAAGCTGTCCGACATGCTAACTCGCAGTATGGAGAAGCAGACTATTAACTGAATTACCCGTCATCCAACCAGTAGTTCGTCAGTCCGAACTCAAATACGGGCAGTAAGAGGATATAACTAGATCCTAAACAAAAACGTTCGGCAAGAAGTTCAGTTTACTTGTAAAGTAGGTTTCATCGTCTAAAATTAACAAAGATAAGGAAGCTCGAATAAAATCCTAAACTTCTCTGAGAAACTAGAGGCGTCAAAGATCTTATAAATTATTGATATTTTAAGGAAATCTAGAAAATTTTGAAACTACTTTCCATCACCACTCCAAACTCTACTAAATGCTGTCCAGATTTTATTTGAAAAATCTGGCACCAAGGCTCATTCAAAACTATAATCTTGGAAGTTGACTTATTTTTCGAAAAATGATGGTGGAATAACCACACGTCTCACATCGAAAAGTATCGAACACAAAAGCGTTTTTTTAATGGCATAAAAATATTAAAGGGAATCTACCTTTCTACGTGGGAAAAGTTTAAGAATGAACAGAAAATCAGCGATTTCGCTATTAAAGTATTACAAACTACACTTTAAGCCTCAAGAAGCTAGAAGAGTATTAACGAATCACGAGTGTTCATCTCGAAATGGAGGGATACCTTCGGAATATGCAGAAGATCCAATTATAGGAAACCTCAAGAGATACTCTAAGCTCTCGATCTACAAAACCAAAGAAATATCTGACAACAGCGCAGTGATTAACATAACACTAGGTCTTTCTAAGTTATATCCTAGGATATAAATACTGTTTAAACATCTTCAGAGAAAGTGAATAAAAGAGAATAAGAGTTGGGAAACATATGTTTAGTTAAAGACCGGAAACTGTATAACCTAGCGTTTCAGTCATTGGCGTAAATATTATGTAGTTTGCCTGAGTAATTAGGACTAAAAACAGCTTCAGTGATTTAACTGACTGAGAATTCATATCACATTTTCTGATGTGTAAAAGGAAAAACCATGACTTGCTCAGGTACAAACAAAAACCGTACAACAAATAACAAGCGTTTTAAATTATGTGAAAGTACCCCTAGCCTAGGCTGAAATTTATAGTGTTTTCGCGGGTTTGAGGCGGACAATATTCACGTTATTGAAAGCCGTCCACAGCCCGCGATATTCCATACAAAGACCAACAACAGTAAATTCATGACTAGAGAGGCTTAGACTTTTCATACACTGTTCTTTTCACACAAAAAGGTTGTGGATTATTTGGAAATGTAAGAAAAAAACACATAATTACATTTCAAAAGCACTGTGAAATATTAATAAAATGTGAAAATAAATCAAAATTAACTCAACAAAATCTTCATTTTTATTTGAAAGCGTTCACAGAAAAACCGACAAGCTAACCGCATTTTGCTTAAATCTGCACAAAGTAGGAAGATCAAAACTTCACAATGTAACGAATTGTTCAAAAAACCGCGTATCAAGGTCATCATATATTTCAGTTTCAGTTTGAGTTTACAGAAACAATAATAATGTTCAATTTCAATTACATAATACGACATGAAAAAATACATGTGAAACTATTCATTCTTCAAATATATGAGATAGAAAACACTAATTTATGCCAGGGCGCTAATTAAAAGGAGAGTGGTATTTTTCCTCGCTGAGTAAATTCTATTGCCTTGATCGCTTACTACGTATAATAATAATAGTAATAATTCACATATTCTGAAAACAATAATAACAGAATTCACGCCAGTTTACAAGCATGATCAATTTGATATAAATATTAACATCAGGTGTACAGATCAAACATGTGATAGAAGAAAGTTTTAAGTATACTAGTTCAGTAATTGTCTAGGTAGTAAATATATTACAGTGATCCGATGCATCAGCTGGGAACTTTTAACTTTCCTTAAATGGACAACCTGTTGATTTATGAACGGGGTAATTTAGATCATTTCGTGTGCCAGAGCGAATTATTGATAATTATCTAAAATTCGAGGAATTAAAACGAAAACAGAGAGCACAGAACAACAAGGCAGTAATTACCAAAACATGTCAATTAGGTCTACCAAAATGCGTGCGTCACGTGACACAGTGATATACTGTTGATGTTATTCAAATTAGTTAAACTTGCTAAGGATGGTGTTAACATAAAGTGGTAGCATGTAGGTGGTTTTGCTTAGGTAATTCACTAATAAAAATGGCTAAACATCTAAAGTTCCTATAATATCACTTGTGGAATGAGATACATTCACAGGTGCTATAACATTCAATGCATTTTCAGAGGAGCAATATGCATCGATGCAGAGAACAAATAATGGAGGTGATTTTATCGTACGGATAGATTGTGGTAGATTATTCCATAGTCTGGAAAATTTACAGGTAAAGTAATTCATATAAAGAGATTATTTGGAATAAGTTCGTTTCACTGGTGACAAGGAGCTACGGATGTCAAAATGAGAAGTTTCTGCACATTGAATCATGTGATTGGATTTAAACGATAGCTTATTAAATAGTTTGAAGAAGAAGATGAGATTTAGTTTGAGTCTCCTCATCCATAAACGGTGTAGCCCAAGTTTATTACATCTAGAATTATAAGGTACAATCAGCTGCCAGAATACGAAGTGTAAATCGTCTCTGTACGGATTCCAGCATTAATTTATCCTTTATGCCCGCACTGCTGAGAACTAACATGTAATATTCTAGAAGTTGTCGAGCACAAACTTTGTACATTAAAATACGTGACTCAGTGTTAAATAGGCCTCGAGTTATATTAACCTATCAGACGTTCATAGTTAGAGGTCTGTTTCAATATCTGTAATGTAAACGACAAGTCTTGGGAGTATCTAAGTCCTAAGTCTACTACTGTATGTAACATAGATAACACTTCTTCATTTATGGCAAGGTCTAGGTTGATTGATGTATCGCCGAAGCATATCCATCCACATTTATCTGTATTGCGCTCCAGTTGCCATTTTCAGCACCACTGTGCTACCTTGTTAAGCTCCATGCTGATGCAATTTTGCATATTTTTCAGCTCATGTGGAGAAAATGAATATAATACTTTAAGATCATCTGCATATAGAAGGGGCTTACTCTTACGTCCAAGTTTTGCTCGTTCTGGTTATTGAAGTACGGACTATCGATCTACTTGCAAATTACGAACCCAAATCAACAACAGAAACAAGCCCCAATTTAAATACCAAATTTATTCGTAATTCACAAATAATCGACCAAATGTCGTTCCAACAACAATAATTATAACAATTACAAAACAAACCTTCAATGTTGTAGGTTCCTGGAGCAAAACTCCCAAATACCAAACCAAAGACAAACCAAAATGTCCGAAATAATGTCTTCAGTCTTCAGTCTTCAGTAATAAGGATAGTAGGTTGATGAACCTGTATTAATCCTGAAGCACTGCTTTCCAGTGAAGGTCCAGCTTTTCTTTGAAAGTATTCACTGATGGGGCTGATACCACTTGTTCGGGTAAGGCGTTCCAATGATTGACTACTCGATGAAAAAAACGGGACCCCACTTTAAGTTTATTAGATCGTGATTTATGAACCTACTTGCTATGACCGCGGAGATTATTAGTTCTGGAGGGAGCAAAAAGATAAGACATGTTAACACCCAAATCATAATTAGAGATACGAAATGCCAGTATGAGGTCACTTCATGTCCTACGATACGACAAGGGGAAAAGATTTAGGCGTTTTAAACGCTCATCATAAGGGAGTCTAGAAAAACCCTTCATTAATTTCTTTCCCACACGCTGGACACGCTCAAGGGAGTTAGTATCCTTTACCAGACATGGGCTAGCTGCTTGGATACAGTACTCTAAGTGTGGTCTTACATAGATGGGATATGAAATTCGAAACGTTTCCTCGTCAAAAGATTTGAACGCTCGGCGAAGTGACCATAACGCTCGAAAATCTTTGACAGCATCTGCGTTGCAATGCGTAGTTGTTTTTAGATCATGACTTAGTACTACTCTTTATGCTCTTGAACGCAAGGAAGAGGTTTTTCCTCAATAGTGTAACGGTAACTATTACCGTGACCGATGTGCATTAGTACACACTTCCTAGCATTGATTTCTAAGCCCCAAACTCGAGCTTATCTATATCGTCTAAGTCAGCTTGAAGATCCAAATGATCAGCCTCACTTCTTATTGCTCTCCAGATTTTTACATCATCCGCAAACAATAATGTTGACGACTTAAGCAACAGCGGTAACCCATTATCGTAGAGAAGGAAGAGCAGAGGGCCTAAGATGGTGCCTTGGGGTACACCACTTTGACCGGCTTCCAATCGGATAGCGTTCCATTGACTCTTATTATCCGTCTGCGGTCACATAAAAAATTTCCTATCAACTCATGTACAGTACCTATTATTCCGAAGCTCGTGAGCTTCTGCATAAGACCTACGTGTGAAACCTTGTCGAATGCCTTGCTAAAATCTATGAATATCACATCGACAGACAGACCGTTATCTAGGGCTGCTGTCCAATCCTCCCTCACAATAAGCAAGTTAGTCAAGCATGAACGCTTGTTACGAAATCCGTGTTGCTCAGGAGCTAACAGATTGTGTAAATCTATGTGGCTTAGCAACCTAACCCGAATTATCTTTTCAAGTAACTTAACGACTATGCTAGTTAGACTAACAGGCCGGTAGTTAGATACTATAAGTCTCTGACCGTCCTTAAATATAGAACTGACTATAGCGTCCTTCCAATCTCTAAGGAGTTGAGCAAGTGAAAGGGACATGTTGAATAGCGTCGCGAGCGGTCTAAAAATAATGTCCGCAAGAGATGACAACAACCGTGGATGTAACCCGTCAGGGCCCGGTGTCTTACCAGATTTGAGGTTAGTTGTCAACGGAAGGACAGTTTCCTCAGTCACGTGTACAGATCCGATGGCTGGTATCTTGCTGTGATAGGGATAAGTATTTGTAACAATACACGTAGAGCATACTTCGCTAAAATAATCTGAAAAAGTCTCAGCTTTTGCCAAATCTGATTCGGCTAGTAAATCCGAATTTTCGTGTAACAGTAACGGGGGAATACCATCACTACGTTTCATTCGCCGTTTAACATACGAAAACAATCGTTTCGGACAAGTACGGCTATCATATATTAACTGTCGTTCGTAAGTGGTACGGGATTTGGCTATGGTTTTCTTACAGATATTACGGAATTTTTGGTAGTCACGCTTAAATGATGCATGACCAGTCAACAAAAATAAGTCCTAGAAATGTTTCCTATGCTTTAGCAGCTTCCGGGTTTCTTTATTAATCCATGGAGGGCAATGTGATAGCTTACGTGCCGACCATGGGATAAACAGCGACGTTACGGACTCGAATATAGCTTTAAACTTATTCCATTCATCTTCGATCAATCCATCCGCGTCGACCGACCAATCAGTCGAGATAACACAGTTTCTGATTTCCGGAATATTGGCTCGCCAGATAATGGGACGGGATGGAGCAGATACGAATTGTATAACATGTGTCCTAAACTTAAAGTGAATTACAACGTGATCACTGTTCACTAGTGGAGGAAGGTGCTGGATATGGAAGACATTCTCACAGTGGTGGGTGAGGGCGAGGTCCAACAGTGACGGATCATGATTGGAATCAATATTTGTCGGTTTTGTAATACATTGTACAAGTGCACACTGAATAACGGTAGATTAAAGGTCGCCATCGAAGCCACTACCTGAAGCTGTAAGCTCTATCCAGTTGATATGCGGTGCGTTGAAGTCCCCAATGATGAGACAACATTCTGCCATACTCCAAGAACAGATGTGTCTTAGGATAAAGTCGTCAGCCAAACAAAACGGACTACGGTATATTCCCCTTATAGTCACTAACCCACTTCTAGATTTAATCTTACAATATGCAACCTCACATGTGCCACTGATATGAGCCTTCGATATGGTTGATTGTAAACGAAAGTGATCCCCAACGTATAATATTATACCTCCGCCTTTGCGATTTGAAACTCTATCACTTCTAATACAGATATAGCCTGCAATGAAAGGAGAACAGTCTATATCTACTGTGAACCAAGTTTCTGTAACAACGAATATATCGGGATATAATTCTTCCACCATCAGACTTAGCTCGGACGTTTTATTTCTAAGACTACGAGCGTTCGTGTAGCACACACTTAAGGTGTTTTGGAAATCAATCGTTCTACCCATAAAGGCGTCGGAAGCATTGGCTTCCAAGAACTGACTACCCGAAAATCATTAATGGTAAGGTTATTATCGCAATTTAATTTGCGAGTCCTCAATTCCGTAAGAGCATTCTTCAACGTGATTCGATACTCAAGCGGCCAATCTGGTCGAATACGAATATTTAGTCACGAGTTTTCAGTGCGTTTTTCAATAATATGTCTCTTTCTTCAAAACTCCCGAGAACCAGCTTTAGGATTCTTCTTGGTTGGGTCTTGCCTCCAAC